TTCCATGTATTTATTATTAATAAACACCGTAATTGATATAAAATTAATAATGTAATGTATATAGTATAATAGACTAGATAATATAAGAATTAACTTTGACTAATAATGTAAAATTCCTTAAGACAAATTTGCGCGCCATCGTGAGTGGCAGAATATGCGAACGATTTACGATTGTATCACCTTAACATTTTGTACCATATTCTTGCAATAAATAAATTATTATTATTATTATATTAAAAAAATCTCCATAATCGCCTTTACGTTCACGTCCTAACTCCTACCTTAATTGATAAATATATTATACTAGTGGACCCCACAGACGTTGTCCTGCATGATATTTAAAGCGATTAGGATATTAAGCAAAGTATGAAAGTACCGACTGCAGTGCCATCTGCCGGGCTGATTTGTGAATCTAAACCATTCCCAGATCCCCTTGAACACACACAAAAAATTTCATCAAAATCGGTCCAGTCGTTTAGGAGGAGTTCAGTCACATACACACGCACACAAGAAATATATATATTAAGATAATAACTATCTATCAACCTAATTACTATCTAATTCTGTGGAAACGCGTATTTGAATAAATTATAGAACTGTAAATTCCAGTGTCCTTAATACAATTGGCATTATGTGTGGGGTCACGATTTGCAAGGTCGGGGTTGACGGCCGGTGTCGGTGACTCCGCAAGGTGCCCGGAGCCCTAGCATGTAATTAATAACGATTTATCTTCGGTATAACTTTAGCCCTATCTTTTGCAAATATAAGAGCGATAAATCGAGCTTAGTAACTAATTGACATTTATAAATAAATGAAATATTTAATAGATAATTTATAAGCACAGAACATTATCTAACACACAGACACATCCAAAAGTTTTAAAGTTGTGGTATTAAACTATTGTTAATCTAACAATGTGATGCGAGAATTCTTGGTATTTAAACCTAATTAGCATATCTCTAGAATTATTACTACACTTAAGAGATCTCAGGGCATCACTATGCTTTAAAATGACTACCTATAAAGCTCGTTTAAATAGGCTTATGTACAAAGTTAAATTACCAAAGATTTTTATCATTCTTTCTTATTTCCATCCTTTGCCGTTTTAATTAATTCTTGTGCATATTAAAAAAAGAAAGCAGGGGGATTTTCTAATTTTAAGTAGTAACTTTATTAATCTGCTAAAAAACTAATGGTTTGGATCTTAAGCAAAAGCACGGTTATCGGTTACGTGATACACGCGAGCATTTAGAAGAGCATCCACGCGAGGCCTTAGAAAAACTAAATGAGGTTATATGAAAACGGGAGAAAAGAAAAACTTAACAAATGGCATATTACTCGAATACAACAAATTATAATTACAGTCGTGGTCATTAATCATTAACTAAATACAAGCGCAACAAAAGAAATGAATTTTAAGAAAATACTTTAAAAAACACTTTTGAATCGTAAATTTTTGAGTTGCTATTACATCATCAACAAGTTTTTAGTTGACTACTACATCTTCACTAATTTACCTAAATTTGTTTACATAGACTTCCCTAAGAAAACCCCCTAAACATTTAACGGTTACCCCCCCCCCCCCCCCCCCCCCCCCCCCCCCCCCCCCCCCCCCCCCCCCCCCCCCCCCCCCCCTCCCCCCCCCCCCCCCCCTCTTCCCCCCCCCCCTTCTTCTTCTCCCTCTCCCCCCCCCCCCCCCCCCTTTCTTTTCTCCCCCCCCCCCTTCTTTTGTCGTCGGTGTGTATCAACTCGTTTCAGATACGGCCGATGGTGCCGCCACCAAAATCCACACCAACAGTGACTTTCGGATGCATTGGACGTCTTGGATCTCATGTGGATTTGTTCGGCCCACACAAGTTCACGTACCCATTCATCCAGAAATGTCCTCATCCTGAAGATATTTTTACATGAAAATTAGGTTTGTCAGTGACGACGCCGGTCTTTGGAACACCTCCAATCTCCAATTCAGGCCAAAAATTTAATCACTACCCCCGTTACGGTGATGCCTGTTCAACGTCGTTCGAAAGGACAATCCCCACCCAATCCCAAACAGTGACTTTCTCGGGATGCGACGCTCTTTTCAACACATGTGTCCGTACCCCTCCAAGCCTGAATTTTTGATGAAAATTAAGGTTTGTCTATGGTCGTTTACCTTCAGCTGGGGGGGTTGATTTTTTTTGGGGGGGGGCCGCCCCCCCCCCCCCCTTTTTTCCTTTTTTTTTTTTTTTTTTAAGGCCGTTCTGTAGCGACGCGAAATCGACTGCCTCGGATTCTCCTGCAAGCTCACGGACAGCGGCGATGTTTTCGGTAGATCTTGCGTTTCGTCCGACGTACGGGTGTTGGTTGAACGAAACCGTTTCCCCACCCCCGGGGCCCCCAAATCCCCCCCCCCCCCCCCCCCCCCCCCCCCCCCCCCCCCCCCCCCCCCCCCCCCCCCGGGGGGGGGGGGGGGCGCCCCCCCCCCCCCCCCCCCCCCCCCCCCCAAAAAAAATCCCCCCCCCCCCCCCCCCCCTCCCCCCCCCCCCCCCCCCCCCCTTTTTTGGCCCCCCCCCAAAAAAACCCCCCCCCCCCCCCCCCCCTTTCCCCCCCCCCCCCCCCCCCCCCCCCCCCCCCCCCCCCCCCCCCCCCCCCCCCCCCCCCCCCCCCCCCCCCCGAGACGTCGACAAAAAGCTCGGTTCGGTACTTATATCCGCTAGAGTGTTTCGTATTATTTTATTTTTTTGAGAATGCATAGAAAAACTAAGGTAAGTTATATGACATTTAATATAATTATCTTAACTCTTACAGGATATTAAAATTGTCGCCCTTACTTGCCAAATTCCTTCTGCAAAAATCAACATTGGTGTTCAGGCACCTCTCTTTCGAATTTTTCGCAATGTTAACGGATTGAACAGTGCTTATCCGGAGCTGGGTATTTTCGGTAGTGGGCTGATCAGTTTAGAGAAAGCATTGTTGGGTGCCTCTCTAACCTAATTCGCCGTTTTACTAATGATTTTTTTCTGCTTTACCTAAAATTTCTGGTAATATCATTGTATGCTTATTTTATCTTGTATGTATTGTAATTGTATTTTTTGGTATATATTTTTTTTAAACTTACGTTTACTTTAATTGTCATACATTTTAGATTGAAGATTTTGTAAAATATGCCGTAGATTTAGTACTTTGTATGGTGTAGTAAACTTAATAAATAACTAAATAAATAAATACACTAATAGAAATCCCGCGACTTACAATATCTATTATATTTGCCACCAGCCACCACAAGTAGCACCCATTCACGAGTACGACGCATGGCCAGTCATCGGCCCCCCGCCATATTGTAGGGAGAGAGACAACCCGACGCATGGACGCACCACAAGCAATGACATACAAGTGAGTTCATTCCTTGAACTGTAAAATTGGTCAGATTTATCAAACTTAATAATTGATAGTCCATGGATCACGGTTTGGTTCACCCATAAATTAGTTAATTGAGTACACGCGGATGTTGACGATCGCCGACTCCAAGATTTTTACATCAAACAATATATACAAGTAGGTAACTTCATTATTTAATAATTATTTACGTTATAATAGGCTTTAGCAAGCAGCTTTCTTTTATGGTGTGGTTCGAATTTATTTATTCACAACACCATACCTTGCCTTGAAAAGAATTACTCGTATTGTGCTGCCTTTTTTATATTATTAGATGTATATACTTACTTGCTAAAGTTAAAATGTGCAATTTTTTCAGACTGCCTTTTTGCCTATTTCGTGAGGATAATCTACAGATCAGCTGCATTACTCCACAAAAGAATACAATAAGACAGTACTATGAAAATAACTAAAATAGACAACCTATACTGTATTTTTCCATGAAAATCCAGTATTTTATTTTCACTGCAAGTGCTGCACTTTTCGAGAGAGTTTTTATATGTTGACCCCACTGGAGTTTTCAATCCATCCGTATCCAATCCGTATAGTTATCCAGAAATCGTAGAAAAGATGGACGTTTTAGCAAAGAATTTTCCTTAAGCTAGCTTTCATAAGAAATTATGTATTAGATTTGGGCTAGGTCAGGGCACTGGAGGAGGCTCGCTTGGCCGCACATGCGCAAATATAACAATGATGTATTGAATGGCATAAAATAGTTATCCTATTATCGCCTTTCACCGGCTCATTCTCTGCTGTATTAAATATATATATTTCTGTCCATGTAATAATAAAAATAATTATAATATATGGACATGAGGTGCTAAGACATAATAATCATTTATTATTATTAGCAAAACAGTAAAAACTTTCATAGCGTATTAATTCATTTTATAGTTATGTGTTAAACACTAACACTGTAACTTTGATATAGATCTCTTAATATCCGGTAGCGCTTCTGTCTCACACTTGGGATCGCCGTAGGCGGTGGTTTAAAGTTGCTGATTGGAGCCAAAATATAATTTTATTCTCATTTGTTTTATTTTGTACATGCATGCTAATATGAAATCTACTAATAATACGAATCCACCAAACATAATTTTTCAATGAAATTAAATCAGTAAGGGGGTCTAGCCAAGATGGCTTAACAGTAGTGTATGTAGAAAGTCGAAAACTAAATTTGTATGGAAATGACAGTTCGTGTCGAAAAGTTTTCATACAAATTTCGTTTCTGACTTTCATCATACACTACTGTTAAGGCATCTTGACTAAGGGCCCCAGTTAATATAATATAAGGCAGATAATACGATAAGTCCGTGATAATCATATTTGTCACTAATTTGGTAATCAACGTTTCGCAAGTAGCTTTGTGTTTGTATCTCTGGAAGCGCTTAGCAGACAATTTACATATCTAATGAATGACTGTGACTTGGCCGAGTACCAGTTGTCAATTGTCAAGTTTTGAAATTTTGAATACGAAGATAACATGACAATGGATTAAATTTTATTATTTAGTTATTTACATATTTTTACAATTTACACCTTCATGAATTTGTATATATATTATAAATGAACTTATTTTACAAATAATGAATTCCTTTATAATAATTGCTATTTTATTTAATTGGTAAGTGGTTATTAAAAATGGTATAAATTTATTTTGTAAATTTCTTGCTAACACACTGTTATTAGTTTACAGTTTACACATCAAATAAACCATGATTTCGATTTATTAATATTTACACAAAGCTGGCCCGCTACGGTTTGTAAGGAATGGAAAAAGATGAACCCTCGGCATAAATGTACAATGCCACATAAAAATGATGCCTGGTCTGTCCATGGCATATGGCCGACGAAACTTGGAACAATTGGTCCTGCCAACTGTAATAGAACTTGGTTATTTGACCCTGAAAAGATTAGGCCTATTGAGGATAAACTATTGGAAGAATGGACTAACATTTTTAATGGTTTGGATTATTAATACTCAATTATATTATTACTTTATAATAGAAATTCTCTAAATTTTCAATTGAAATATGTGTTTTAGGAACTTCAAACTATGCACTCTGGGCTCATGAATGGACCAAACATGGTACCTGTGCAGCACAACTGGAACCTTTAAATTCTGAATTGAAGTATTTTTCCATAGGCCTTGATTGGTTGGAAAAATACTCTATGGCTAGGATTTTAAGTGATGCTGGTATAATAGCTTCCAACACTGATGATTACCATATAACGGATATAAACAATGCTGTTAAGAAAACCCTTAATATTGATCCAGCCATTGAATGCAGAAAAATGGATGGAGAAAGTTATATGTCAGAAATTCGTATATGCTTTACCAAGGAATTAAAGTTATGTGATTGTGATGGAGTTTTGGCTCGTAGAGACATTGGTACTGATTCTATCATTACCAATTGTGACGGAAATAAAAACATAATTTATCCTCACTATAAGGAAAATAGTTTATATATCCAACTGTATAAGTTGGTTACATGGCTGCAATGGTTTACCCTGTAATGTAAACATAATTATTAATTAACATTATTTTGGATAGCATAATATTAAGAGTTTTATAAAATGATCAAGTTAAATTTTATTTATATGTATTGGGTAATTTTTTGTAAAGATTTACCTTGTTTTCCACGTTTTATATATAAATGTAATGTTTTTTATAATGTAATGTATGATTCTTACTGCATATGTTGAATATAATAGGTTTTTGTGATACATGATAAAACAAATGCAGTCTTCATTATATTGACAATATTTAAAATGAATTGTTATTATTATTGTTACATAATTTCTCTATGTCAATGAATTTTAATATCTTCTGTCTCTACTTTACAATATATTCTATATAAACATTTTTTTAATTTGTAAAATTATCTCAATGAATTTTCCTGTGTGAAATTGTTGAAATTAATCTTTTGATTCCTTTGTACTTAAATGTTTTTTAATTATTAATTATATTATATATACATTTTTAATTATATGGTATTAGAATAATCTAATAGTAATAGTGGTATAAATATGAAAGCTATTTTAGTTTTACAAACCCGATTGACAAATTATGCATAAGGATATGTGGTATATGAATACTGCTTGAGGGACAAAAAAAATAATAAGCTTAAAGTTAGATAAAATGTTAATGAAGAGAGAATTTGTCATTTCTTATGCTTGAATTTAGCACGTAAATAAAAAGTTTAATGTATGTGTTTACTTTATTTCATACCAACTAGCTTTGGGGTTCAATTGTAGCCCTAAGTAACTTTCTTATTAATAGTTTTCTGTATTATATATATTTCTGTATTACTGACTGGTCTATTGTAAAGCCTCTGATTGAAATCCCGGATGGGGCCAAACATTCAATAAAAAATTTAATTGTTACCATTGTAATTACTATGTTAGGATAATGGTGTTTATATTTCCCTGTGACTTTGACTTAAAGCTTCTTGTCAATAGAGCTAAAACTTAAAACATATTTTTATTAACCTTTTACACATGTAATACCTTTATGGTAAGTATAATATTGATTTCAGTTACTTCTTGTTATCTACTGAGAGTTCATGGGCGGCAATAAAACTTATTTCTAAGTACCTACCAAGTTGTTTGTTTCTTCTTGTAAATAAATTGTTTCTTTAAAAAACAATGCACCCACAAACCCATGATAAATAAAATAATAAATATACATTTGGAATCAAATATAGACTTTTTTTAAATTGTCACTAAAAAACTAGAAATGTGTTACAGCATATGAAACAAAACTTCTTATTTAATAAGAATATAACCTACTAGCGACCCGCTCCGGCTTCGCACAGGTATAAAATATATAGCATATGTCACTCAATGAAAAAATGATTAAAATCGATCCAGTAGTTTTGATTTAAGTCGGAAACACACTTACGTGTCGTGGCGTGTCGTGACATACCGACCGCGGTCGTTGTGGTCACGGCGAAAACGTCACTAATGACGTCATGACTAATGCTCACGCAAGGCTCACAACGACCCATCTAAAGAGGTGGGTCAAAGTGAACGTTGAGAATAATTCGGCGCAATTTTTGAAATATGATATTCAAAGCTTAAAGCCGGTTGCAGACCGAAAACTAAGCTATGCCAAGCAAGCTAGGCTAAGCTAAGCTAGAAATAAATAGCGTGCACACCAACAGCTAACCCAAAGCTCAGTCAAGCCGGTTGCAGACCGAAAACTAAGCTATGCCAAGGCTAAACTAAGCTATGCCAAGCAAGCTAGGCTAAGCTAAGCTAGAAATAAATAGCGTGCACACCAACAGCTAACCCAAAGCTCAGTCAGTGTTGCATACTATGTGCAAAGGGTGTGCGGGGTAGCGGGAGGGGCTTAGCTTAGCTCGTGTAGCTGCGCATCGGCATACACAACTAACTTAGCTTCGCATATTTTAGTTAGCTCACATAGCTTAGTTCGCATAGTTTGCGGTCTGCGCAGACGTATGGAAAATTGGGTCAGCTATGCGAGCTTAGCTAAACTAACGTAGCTTAGCTCTTGGTCTGCAACGCGTATTAGTGTTGCATACTATGTGCAAAGGGTGTGCGGGGTAGCGGGAGGGGCTTAGCTTAGCTCGTGTAGCTGCGCATCGGCATACACAACTAACTTAGCTTCGCATATTTTAGTTAGCTCACATAGCTTAGTTCGCATAGTTTGCGGTCTGCGCAGACGTATGGAAAATTGGGTCAGCTATGCGAGCTAAGCTAAACTAACGTAGCTTAGCTCTTGGTCTGCAACGCGTATAAAGATGGCGACAAGAAAAATAACATTATATGATTCTGAAAGAGAAATTGTAGTAGAAGCTATCGTTTCTGAAGCTGAAGCTGCTCGTGCAGAAAGAGGTAAATATAATTATGCAATATAAGTTTAATACAATTGATTTTAGTTTATATTCAACAGCTATTTATACATTTTTCCTAAATAATGGATAGCATAACCTAACTCAATAAGTAAACGATATTTATTATCATTAATAACATATATACATATATATATATATTATATATATATTTTCCTTGCCATTTGTAATATTTGTGTGTTTCCGACTTCACTCATTACTGCCCGTGGCCTGCACGCGTTAAATTTGGAGTAGAAAAATTCCCCTTTCCCTATAGGTACCATGAAGATTTCCTGCTATCTTTGGAATATCTAAATTCATACACTACATTTTTACCTATTTATTTTATTTTTACAACAATTAATATATTAGGTCCTTACATATGAAATTGGCGTTTTGTATGGGAGGAACAAAAAGTCGAATATTTTTAAATATAATATATTTAATTAATCAAAGTATGAACCATTGTTTTCTATGCACTTTTGCCATCTCATAGGTAGTTCATTGATCCCTTTACTAAAAAAAACAGTCGGACGGGAATCAATAAAATCTGTGAAGGCGATTTGGACTGCCCCATCAGAGTTAAATTTTTTCCCTTGCAAGAAGTTGTCCAAATTTCGAAAAAATGGTAATCTGTTGGAGCAAGGTCCGGGGAGTACGGAGGATGTCTTAGACATTCCAATTGAAGCTCTTCTAATTTGGTAGCCGTCTGTTGTGCAGTGTGTGGTCTAGCGTTGTCGTGAAGTAGCAGTGGCGTGGAGCGATTGACCAGCCTAGGTTGTTTAGCCGCTAACTTTTCCATCATGGTTTGCAATTGCTGACAATAGACATCAGCCGTAATAGTTTGGCCAGATTTGAGAAAACTGCAATGAACAATACCGGCACTAGTCCACCAAACGCTTACAAGTAACTTTTTTGGGGTTAATTTTTGCTTGGGGCAGGATTTGGCTGGCTGGCCAGGATCCTACCATTGCGCTGAGCGCTTCCGATTATCGTAAAGAATCCATTTTTAATCACAGGTAATGATTCGGTTTAATATACCTTCATTATTGTGCCGGTTCAGTAATGTAACGCAGCAGTCGACGCGCGTTTGCCGGTTTGCTTCAGTCAATTCCATCTTTCAAGCTTTTTAATCTTCCCAATTTGCTTCAAGTGAATTAAAACAGTTTTATCACTAACACCGCAGCCTGCAGCTAACTCGGACGTGGTTTGCGATGGATCCGCTTCCACAATAGCCTTCAATACTTCATTATCAACTTGGGTCTCAGACCGTCCACGGGGCTTGTTCTGCAGGTCGAAATTTGGAACCAAAAACGAATAGTGTTTTCTTTTGCAACATGACCGCCATACACATCATTCACCCTTCGAGTCGTTTCCGCAGCACTAGTGCCACGGCGGAACTCGTACTCGTAAATAATGCGATACTTTGGGTATGTTCCGATATATTACACGTCGGAAATATCTGCGAACCTCGCTGGAATGCGCTTCCCCGCACCCCGCCCCGTTTTCGCCTATCCACTATCCAGTACCGTTCAGGGGGGATCAACTTTGTATGGGAGAAATAAAATACCTATTTGGGCAGTTATTGCCACTGTCAAGATATAAACATTCATGCTTAAATAAATTTTCTAATAGCAACATTGTCCTAGAACCTAGAAAACCAACATGGCGATTTTACATCAAGGTTGGTGTTGTCGGTGTTGTTGTGGCCCGAAATTTTGTTTTTCCATGCTATTTCGTCATTTTCCCAAACTACGAACGTCGAGTTGAGTTTTTATTCCTCCGTTTATGTTTTGTGCCCGTTTTGAGATAGTGACTCTAGTGCTTCACAGTGAATACGAGATAGTGACTCTTGAAATCTGAAAATGTCGGCCGCTAAAGAAAACCGAAAGGAAGACAGTCGCAGGTGTTCGAAGTGTGGCAAATCCACGGCAAAGGAAAACGTTTCTTTGTTTCGTTTTCCAAATCCCGGAGTTCGGAATCTTTTGCGGTACGTACTAAACTAATTAACTTCTTAGTTAACATCACATCAAATCGATTGACAATATTTCAACCTATACGTCAACGTTGGAACTTTTTTTTGCATTCCCCAAGAAAGCAGTCAACAACGTTTGGTCTTTGTTACAACTGTCAAATTGTCGTGGTTAAAATACAATGTAGTTCAAGTTCTAGTCGATGGAACCTACGCCTTGAATTTGACAAGAATAATTACGTGCTTCTTACTCCTTACCTTTGATATCTACTACAATTATGCCCGTTTATTTTCAGCTGCACCCTGTGGGCAAAATACCTTTTTCCCTCGGATGAACAGCACACTTCAATAGCTTTTCAAAAAAAGGCTGTATGCTGAGCACAGGATGCTGTGCCAAAATCACTTCCACGAAGGTGATTTTACAGATGGCACTAAAAAATCATTGCTAAGAACTGCAGTTCCGCATGAGGTAAGTTGTGAACTTTACTCACCATTGTATTTAATTTAACCAAAATTTGTTATAATTTAAACATAGTGAGTAATAGTTTGAACTATGTAGGCCTACCTACATAAACCTAAAAACATTACGATAGTAAATGAGGACTGTGACTTGATTTATTCTTGTAATTACAGATTAGACCTGTATTCATTCCTGCGCTTACATTGCCCGAGAATCTGCAGCCAGGCCCTTCATTGTAGAGAAGAAACTTTTCATTTGAATTACCTAGGTAATTCAACCACGACTACGAACATTACAAAATTATGTTGATTTCGTGTCCAAATAATAATAAGGATCCATAAAAGTGAAATAAATAATAATTCAATGAGAAAACGTTTTTGTTTTATTTCAAGATCATTTGTTAAATATCTAGTGTTCTTTTGGATGCATAGGCCATTTCATTTGTAAGGAAACTCAAATGAATGAGAAAACTCATCCGAAATTAATAAATTTCTGGGGAACCTGGACCTGCTGGCAATTCAAATTTTTGCCGCCATATGTAGTTTTGGGTGGGTTGATAATAGGTGGCGATACATTCGCGTATCTTAAAATCTGTTCCTAGTCGTCGTTCTTCCTTTAGGTAATTGTGTTCTGTGGTACCGTTGCCAACGCAATCGCCGACGCACGTGTATTATTCTTGCTTTCGTAATCGCATTTTAGTGTTTATTGTTTCTCTGTTTGGTGAAATATTACATAAACTACCTATTTAGTGCTGTATGTAAGATGGGTAGGACTATAATATATCAATAAAAATAAGTACACAAATAAAATATTTTTTATTTTTACATCTTCAATTTTTTGCTATCTCTCCAGTTTGTATGACGTCATTAAGCCAGGTTCGCAGATATTTCCGACGACTTGTACACTGCGAGTACTGTATAGTGCTCCCACTGTTCAAAAATTCGTTCCGCTATGGACTATTATATATGACGTCACAAATCCCCGCTATACTTCTACTGCGAGCACTGGCGTTTTCGAGGTAAGGTACTCGCAGTGCTTTGATCACGTGATCAATCAAAACCACTTGAATGCCTAACGGCTGATATAACTTACAGTTTAATAACAAACATTTAAAATTCTAATTAAAGAATTAGCTTGGACTAATTAATGAAACAACATAACCTTTGCATTATAAGTAATACAGAAAGTTAATATAAGTTGAGTTATGATAAACAGACTTTTTCTAATTAAAAAATACTTACTTTCTTTGTAGTATTAATTCAATTGACAGTTAATATTAATATAGATTTTTTTAATGCGATAATACTCCAATAATAGTTTTTCTTGATGAATTGAAAAACTTTGATGCACTCATTTGAAAACTGTGTCGAAAAACGAAGCTGACTAGTATACTGGACTGCGTTCCGTTTTAAATTGTAACCAGTATAGCTGGCTATAGAGAAACGGTTTCACAGTATACTAAATTGACGGTACTCTGTACAGTGGTCGCAGTGTATATCGGAACATACCCTTTAAAGTTTCCATTTTGTAAAATGAGTGACGCAAACAGAAAAAAACAGAAGAAAAAACAAATGAATGACGGTCATCGAAGCACAAATACATGAGTAATATTATATATAGTATTTGATCGTTTACAGGGCACTTAAATAGCTGTACAAATTTGAATTTGGAATTTCTTACCAAAGAGGAGAACATCGTGATTAAAGTAGCCAGTACGAAATACGCCAATTTCATATATAAGGACCTAATATTACAGCATGTCTTTATATACAACGTTCACAGCTTTCTTGTCATTAGACAATAAAAACATGTTTTCTCTAGAGGTTACTCTTGAAAGAGTGACATACAGTTGACCATGTGAAAAACAGTCAACACTCAAATCTAAGCCTGCAACGTTGAAGGTTTGACCCTGCGATTGATTAATGGTCATTGCAAAAGATGTCTTCATGCATAAGCATCCTAGCAACATATACCATCGAGGAGTTTTCTGTAGACCTTTTCAATGTGTACAAAACTTAGTACATTATTTTGATAAATCTCGTGGGGTTCAGCCTGCGATTGCAATGTAAGCGGAAAAAATGTAATTATTTACGACATCACATTAGAAACCTCAAAAATAACAGTACTTCTCCACTATTTAATGGATGTTATTATGCATATAAACCTTCCTCTTGAATCACTCTATCTATTAAAAAAAACCGCATCAAAATCCGTTGCGTAGTTTTAAAGATTTAAGCATACATAGGGACAGAGAAAGCGACTTTGTTTTAGTGATATTTACTTAAAGAGATCTGCTTACGTCTCTTAATTATACTTATAATATCCTTCTTTAGCTTATCACTTCGATCAGCACCTTGTACAGTAGAACCTCGTTAAGTCGAACCTCGATAAGTCAAAAACCTCCAAATCTCGAAAAAATGTTTTGTTCCCTTCCCTTAAAACACCAAAACCTCCATTACTTGAAATCTTGACCCTCTGTTAATCGAAATAATCAGCGAGTCCCTCCAAGCCATTTTGGTACATATTTTCACTCTATAACTCGAAAAATTAAATTTGACCTCTGTATCTCGAACATAGGAACGTTTTATTTTACAACCTTTACAACTTGATCATTTGGAATTTATTATCTCTATTGTTCGAACAAAAATAAGTTACCGACTTTAAGAACTTGCCGACAATGTGAGTACACTATTGTTTCTTAGAAAACATTTTAGGGGTATACAATAATAAATTTATGACTCATGGAAACACGTGTTTGCTTGCTTTGTGTCAGGTGTTCAATTTTGATTCCCTTTGAAATTTAGCTAAGCCAGTCATTTGTTTTCGACTTAAAGTCCTTTGAGGACTTTGTTTCGTGCGATGATGGAGTTATGACTGCTGGGACATTATCTGATGACGAAATTATCGATTCAGTAGCTCAGAAAACCGATACTAATGATTTAGATGACATAGAAGACGTGAATAGTACATGCGCTCCATGGGTTTCCATCAAAGAGGCGCGAACCGCATTGAATACCTTACGTAATTTTGTAGAGCAAACCAGTAACTCTGAAGAAGAATTTTCTGCTCTTTATAGATTAGACAATGCTATAGATAGAGAACAACCAAATTATCTAAAGCAAAAAAAAATTACTGACTTTTATTAATGCCATTTTTTTTATTTTAAAATGATTTGAAATAATGTTGATTTATAATAAATAAAAATATGTTTGTCACCTCTGCAAGTTGAATTTTTATTTATTTTACCTCTCGAACTCAAAATTTATAAGAATAAACCTCAAACTCTTTATGTCGAATCAAAATCCGCCTAAGTCGAAATCCTCCATAAGTTGAAAACTCTATAACTCGAATTTTTTGGCGTCTCCCTTGATGTTCGACTTATAGAGGTTCTACTGTATTACTAATATTTTCTCAGGCCTTGGTACCATCAGTTTGTAAGTTAGGTGGTGTACGGGATCAATTTTCGTTGCCTCCACATTTTATTTAAAATGAGGTTGAAAACATATGATTTATTTCATCACAATATAGATTCTCTTGAACTACAATGAAATCTATTTGATTTTTTTTATTTATAGAAGTTTATTTGTTTTATGATTTATCTAGTTAATAAAAATATTGAAAATAAAAATGTCAGTCTAAGATAATGTATATTAATTAAGCAATAATATTGTCCATAATTGATTTAACATGAAACATTAAGTAAACACATTATTGTGTATGTTCCATGAACGGTTGTTCTAATCTATGTCAACAACAAATACATTATTTCCTCAAACCTCTAATCAAGCTAACCGTTTTTTTTACATTTTATGGAGAACTGTTGAGCTAACTTAAATATTATAATTCAATAAACAAAACAAAATATTTTGAGATTTTATTTCAGTTATGAGTGTAACATTTTCGTTCCCATAAATTTTTAAATAATCATGTAACACCCATACATACTTTAATACGAATAGTTTGTACAAATAAATATGACCAATGTAAACACTTTCCAAATGGAATTTAATTCTGACCTTTAGATACTATTATTACCGCTGATGGCACCAAACCTGAAAAGAACAAACACATTAAAAAACCTTCTGAAATAGTTAAGCTTTAATTGGCTTGTCAACATTAAACCTTCCAATAAATCATTTATGCTTAAATTAATAAGTATAAATAATAAGTTTGAACTTTGTTTTATATATTGTGTAATTGTATGGCTACTATTATGGTCCAAGATCCCAGGGCTGCCAGACTTTTATAAAAAAAAAGAGTTTTATAAAATATCTGTTCAAGTAATTTTCATGGCTTTAACAGCGCAGTCGGTCTCACTCAGTCTCATGCGCGTAGATAATGCTCTCGCGCTCCCACTCACAGAGATATTAAAATTTAGTTTAGGGGATGATTGGCCCCTTGGATCGGTCTGTCTTCTTGTCAAAGCTTTTAAAATAGTTGTCGGATGAACATATATAAAAATGGAGCGTCAGAATTTACGTGAAGTTGACTAATTATTTTGAGACCCTTAAAGCGTCTGTCAAGCAATATGGCCGACGGAAAGTGTCTGGGAGTATTGACAATTTATTTTTAACTATACACTCGAAAACATATATAAAAATCAGCCAAGTAATGTTTTTGTGTACCTTGATTACCTGATACCTGGAAATTGGCCGTTTGACCATGCTAGCAGGTAGGCATACGATCATAGTACATAGTAACACTACTCAATCGTCCACATTTCATCCGTCATAAAATACGTGACGTCTGGCGGCCCTGGGATCTTGCTCTATTATTATAACTAGCTAATTATTGAAAATGAAGTAAATAAATACCTAATAGATCCAATGGTTTTTCATAGTCATCTGAAGTAAATATCTTCTTTGGGAATGTGGTCATGAATTTAAAGTGATCCTCCTCTGAATATTCTGGTTTATTCATTTGTAAAAATACCCTGGAATAAATAAAGCAATATGTAGCTGAAAATACTTAAGCACTGTGCAATTATAATTAGTCTATTATTAAAAATTTATTGATTATGAGGCATGCTGAATTCTGTAGGAAAATTATTGATTAGTTTAAGAGACCTGCTTATGTTATCTCACCTAACAGCAGCCAACTGTTCCTTGGCACCAAATGTTTGTGTCAGAGACTGGCCATCGGGTAGTCGAAGCTGTATCCTGGCCTGGTCATAGGCCACTTTGGAGCCTGGAGTGGAAATAACTTGCGGAGGGGCTGGCACTGGCGCAGGTGCCGTTTGCCCTGATGCAGCTAACCTGCAATTTTTTTCATCCTTTAATGTAGTTTGAAAGGTATTCTTGTAACTGTCTATTGCAATGTGGAGTTTGACATTTTGTTTAAAATAATAGATATGTTAAAGACGAAGGCCTGACCCATAGTTTAAAACCATAATGCATAGATAGATATGGATTTGGCATAGATGATGCAGATGTCGTAATAAAATATCTTTTCTTGAAAGACAAATATAAATTTTTAACTAAGTTTAAAAAACAAATATAATTATAATTTCAAATTTAAGCAGGGCCTACAAGTATTTTTTTATAATACTGACACCAGAACTTCTTTCAGTTTACCTTATTTCCAACCGTTGTAGCAACTCTTTTCTAAAATTTTAAGTAGAAATATCTCTCAACAACTACACACAATTCTACAAAATTATTCATGTTGTGATTAAGCTTTCCCTTCCCAAGTTATCATTTGTTCATTCAGCTTTCAGGTTAACACTAAAAAGGCCTAAGTGTAAAACTGATCATAAGAGTAAACATACAAGTTTAACATGAACCCTAAATATGCAAACACATACAGAGTATATTCTCAATTTTGTTATTTGTGTTATGAAAATATTTCCCTAAAACCTAGTTAAAACAATACTGACTTCCTTGCTTGCTTATCAGCTTCTATTTGTGCTCTGACTCTATCTCTAGCCTTCTGGTCCTCCATTTTTTCTCGCCTTCTCTGTTCTACCAGCTTTTGCATCTCTTGCTCTTGAAGCCTTAACTTAGCTTCTTGGAGGTCTTTTCCAGATTTGATTCTTAACCTTTCTCGCTCTAAAGCTTCAGCCTGAAAATTTGTCAAAAAAAAGACAAATATGCTTAGTATATTTACAGTAAGAATTAAAATTTTGCCTCATGTGCACTTTTTACAAAAGACATATTCGGTTTTAGATTTACAGAATGTGTATATAATCAAATTTAAAACCAAAAGGTACTAAATAAAAATATATATTAATTTAATTAATATTTATATTAAGGAACTTACCTTTTCTCTCTCCTCTCTTTCTTTTCGCTTTTGCTTCATTCTGTCTTCTAATAGTGCTAATTGTGCTTTTTTTTCCTCTTCAGTCAATGGCTTCTTTTCTTCTGTAGATTCAGAGAAATTGCTATGATTCGTTTTAGCTGCATGAAATTCCATTTCATCTTGATTTTTGAATAACTTTCCACAGTCTTCGCATTTAAAAGACTTTGCTTCAACTTCAGCATCAGCAGTTGAAGTCGTCTCGGAAGAACTAGCTGGAACAGTTTCGGTAGCGGTAGAAGGGGTAGGAATTGTAATTTCAGCAGATGCCGCCGCACCACCCACTGTATGCCCAGTACCGGCATCCATCTCCTCCGCATGAGCTAAAAGCCATTCCATAGCCGGCTCCACTCCTTTGTAATTTGTAACGGCCAGCGCCTTTTCACTAAAAACAAATATTGAAACAACCAATGAAATAACCTAACATTTCCTGAAAACAAAACATATCACACTAACTTACGCTTTTTCCTTGGGGAACCCCATTTCCATTAGAGTTTGTATTTCAGCCATTGTCGAAAAAGTAATCGTTACTTTTTAGTAAATGTATAATAGTTAACAATTTTAAAAGTTAAAGTAATTATTACTTTTCATCCCTCAAAGTATCTTTCTCGTAACAGCCAAGTGTCAAATGTAGTGTCATCTAGTGATTTGTCATATTATGTGAATAAGAGTTATTTATGACAGTCAAGTGTCAACTACCTTTAAAAAGGTCTGAGATATAGAGATATAGATACGCCCCTACTACATCTGTAGATTACCATTCATAATTTTGAGATATGACATTATCAATAAATATTAAACCATAAAATTTGGTTTATGCCAACACTACAACACCGTGTTATTGTTTTTTTGAACTCTTTAAAGATGGCATCGCAAAAGCGGCATAGCAGGCGAAAAAGTATACAAAACAGCGACCCAGGGAAGATTTTGGATTTAGTTATGAGTCTTACCGATGATGGTGCTGCGCAACTGGAAGTAAAAATAAATACTTACGTTAGTGTTTCATTTAAATGGCATTTTTCCATTATTGAAAAGTATTATAGCATAATCACTGTACAGTGTAATTGTATATGTATATATTATATGTCCGTTTTCGTCCGTTAAAAAAAGCGTTTGAAAATCATTGGGCGTAAATCATTATCAATTATCAGTTACGCGACGAATGCGAGGCCGATGCAGTTCTGCAAGTGGTGGTTCACAACGCCGGTATGGAGGCTTCACTTGATGCTGTGGATGCTACTGCTTTAGCTAGAAAAAATAAGATATGTGTAAGTACGTGTAAACAGCCTAATTTACTCGGTTGGTATTGGGGAGAAAACATTTGAATAATATGTTAAGTATGTAAATAAAATACCTACGTTTTTTATATAATATATTTTTATTCGGACATAAAGTACTTACAAGTGATGACTTGTCCCTTGAAATCATATTTTTCAGTTTAGTAATTTTCAAGGTTGCCTCAGAGATATCGTTACGTCTTTAAATAGTCGTACAATTAGTAACATAATTTCGTTAGAATATTCACAAAGAAATAAATGTTGCATGCAATGAATTTGTAGATGACCGCAAAAATGGCGGATGTATTGAAATCAGTGGTCGAACAAAACGATATTCTAACGAACTTTGGAGCTGATTTTCAAACAATCGTTTCACCAGTAAGTATATTAACACCCAGTTCTGTTAGTAATAGTAGTTGTATTTTTATTGAAATTATTAATGGTTTTAGGAACAGTTACTTACGTTACGTTAGTCAGTAGGTACTGACTTTGACTGTTATGTGTCATGACTAGCGTTGCCAGACGTCCCGTATTTCCCGGGACGTCCCGTATTTTAGGCTTAGTTTAAAAGGCCCCGGCGGGACTGACTCTGTCCCGTATTCAAACCGTTCTTTGTTTTTTATTATTAAATCTTTAAAAATTAAAATTAAATAATAACGGCTGACGCAAACGAATTACTAAAAAACTTGTTGTAAAGATGTGATTTTTCAGAAAATAATATTCTTTCTATCATCTCTTTTTAAATTTTAAATCTGAAATAAACTGCAACAATTTCCAAGAAGCTGCGGAACATTTTAAGATAGAAGAAATAAATATAAATTGCTTGTATCAAGAATTCCAAATAATCAGAAAAAAACCTGAATATTGTTAAGACAACTTCTGATTGCAAGAGTATGGGAGCGATTTAAACTTGGATCAAAGGGTTTTCCCAGTACCGAAATCTCTAACATTTTCCGAATTTTATCCTTCGTTCTTAGTATACCTACCTAGCTCAAACTGTTCCTAATAAGTGGACTCGCACACATTCCCAATAAGTGGATTGATGTGAGAAATAAATTTACCTTTTGAAATTTTAAATTGAAAAATAGAATTTCTATAAGGTAATTCGCCCTTCTCACTCTCTCTCAATCGGTCTCAATCGCTCTCTCCCTTTTCTTCGACATAAACGCTGCGCATCTTCGTGACGCTAATATTATTATTATTTCGTTTCATCCGTAAAAAAATTACCCTCATGCGCCTAAAGAAGTTTCACTTCAAAAAGAAAAATGAAATTAAATCTTAAACTACTTAACTACAACTTTATATCTAAAAGAAAAAAAAATTGTTACTATTCCTAAATATAGTCAAACTCCTCCCGCTTTTTAAAATATTTCTTCCTCTTTAGTAAGGAGGAAAATATCAAAATCTTCATAAATTTTATTGTACATTGGCTATAAAATTCGTGTTTGTGGACACATAGAATAATAAATAGTTGTGAATATCTTCTCCTCGCATATATATTCTTTAAGAAATTAATGACTTTACGTATTCTCGCTTTTCAGTATGTCACGAAAGACAATATTAAAAAACGCGTGATTATGTATCCCGTAATAGACAAAACATTCTCAGTCGTCGTTTGCGTGATTGCGCCAAAGATTTTGGAAGAGCACGTTGCAATTCTGATACACGAGTGTTTTTTGTAAGTACCTGCTATAAATCACAAATAGGCAGCTTGTTGACAACGTTTTGGTCCTATATAAATTTTTTAATAACAGTAGCAACTTTCGAGTTTCGAAGCTTTCACTATAATAAAAACTCATAAATCAGTTAATATTCCTCTAATAATATCAGAGTAAAAAATGTATTCCTGGTAAGCATTTGAATTCATGAAGCTAATGAACTCAGTCGGATTTAAATTATTAAAGCGATTATTAGGTTCGTGTGGCCAGTACTAAAAAAGGCCATAGCTCTTGAATACGAATGCACTTTGAAGCAAAAATGCCAGCAGTTACTGCGGGTCGCTAGACGATTGTTTACACAAGTAAGTTTGCATGCTTATTCCTACTATGTATATACAAACGACACTATAAATTATCATTACTTTTTTAATAAAGTATTTTTTCGGAGGTTTATACAAAGTCCCAGTAAATGTAATCTTGTATAAAGAAAACACATTTTTATCGGATTGAAGTTATGTATTATTATAAATAAATAAAGTATATGTGATACTTTTTGACATTCAACACCTTTTGTCTTCAGTCACCGTGACCAAGCACGCGAAACGTCGGAAAAATTTAAAATTATGCAAAATAATTGTAAATTTATAATAATATATAACTTCAATCCGGTAAAAAAGTGTTTTCTTTAAATTTGTAAAAGTTATGTCAATACACATACTAAAATATTCTAGTAAGTATATATTGCTGTAATTAAAAAAAAAGGAAAAGGGCACTTAAGGCGTTCCAAAGCATCTGTGCAATAAAAACGTAAGCGTGACGTATATAATTATGGTTAGGTTATTATTATTTTCGTATCTCCATTCTCCATCTCCTTACGACGGTTGGCGATCATCATGGTATCATTCTTTAATATTGGATGACGCGTTTCTGAAAAATTACTTAGAGCTTTGTCAATGGTTTGGATTGCCTTATATTCTTCAACCATGACGTGAATCTGCGGCCAGCTTGCTACCTGCCACTTTACCTTGTGTGATTAGTTGAAGGAGCTCGTATTTTATGGTGTTACGTAAGACGTGTCCTAAATATTCAAGTTTCCGTTTCTGAACCATCTTAACACGTTCACTGCGTAACAGGCCGATATCAGCCTGCCGCGGTATTTCCGCTGGTGCGGACGAAGAAATCTATGTCCCTCTCGCTGGTGCGTAACGATTATCTCAGGTGTTTGTAAAAATTCGACAGGGACAAATATATATTTCATCTTGCGGTCAAAATTGTAGGTTTTCCCCATCAAAACATAACGGCAGGCTTTTATCGACCTACCACGCAATGACGCTTCTTTGCATCCGCTGAGTGCGGCAGTGGGCCTATTTCAGCCCGCCCTCCCAACAGGCAGCTGGCGACCCGATACCGCACAGAGCGTGCGCCCGACCAGTTAGTGTTGTGCTATCTAATTAATCTAACATAGAGTTCGATATTATCAACGATGGCAAGCAATACAAGAAAAATACAAATTTTGGAAAATAGAGTTTTTTGCCTTGCAGTTATTGACAGTGATAGTGACAGCAGTGAAGAAATATTTTCCACTAAGAAAAATAAAAATTATTTCTGTTTCCAAGACAGGCATACATAAGTAAATAAATACATTTTTCAGTTCCTTTACGATAATTCTGTTTTATTTTCGATATTTCTCTGTCCCATCACTACTAAAAATATATTCTAGTGCGGTTCAGGTCGATATCGGCCTGCCGCTTTTCCTGCTTTATTTCTCATTTCCTGATTGCCCGGGGCGAATCAAACCTAAGGAAGTTGGGTTCAAGGTCATTCTAACAATATAAAAGAAAATGTATACATTATGTTTCCACAAAGTTATAGCAATTTAATCTATGCTAGTGCTGTGGGTCTAGAAAGACCTGCCACGCACCGGCGGAAATATCATTGGGGGCGCATTTTGGCCCGCCGCCGCACCTGATGAAAAATTATTATTTTACTTGCCGCAGTGAACGTGTTAACCCTATATATATAGCACTTCCTTGTTCTTTTGCATTCTGTCCAGCTTGGTTGTATTTTATATGCAGCCTGTCCAAGATATTATACTACGTATATTATTACGTTTATAAACCCAGAAATGCTTCCAGTTTTTTTGACATAGGTTCTGTCAGCGTACTTGATTCTACGCCGTGAACAGAGAAGACGTAAAATCGCGCCTAAATTTCATTTCACAAAGTATTTTTTTTGTAGTTTCGAAAAGGCTTTCCGCGCTTGTTAACGACGGATTTAGATGCTATGGTCACTCTTTTCGTAAATCACTGTACTTAGATATCGTATTTTCGAGACACTTTCCAAGGTCTGATTGTTAAGGCAAAAGTCAAAAATCATTTAATCATATAGGTAACACAATGTACACTTATGAACGTCAAAAAAAAGAAATGTATATGTTAACGTAAAATTGTAAATACCGTTAGATTGTAATCTATCTCGCGAGATTATAAACTGTCGAAAGATTGTGAACTTAACGTATTGCTTACAATTTAACGTATTATTATTCGGTAGATTATAATCTATCGAAGTGAAATCGTCAAATTGTGAAACGGTTCGCACCTCGCGCGCTTATTGGTCAGCTTTAAGGTGGAAACATACTACTAAAACGCCACGCGACGCAACGTGTCGACACCCGATGTCCATCGTGCACATTACCAACACGCGACACCACGACACACTTGCAAATTCAGAAGTCATTTAGCTGACAATTGACATTTGTGCCAAAAACTCGAACGTTTGACGCTTGGCGTCAACAACACGACAACACGCCGATCCAAATCGATTGGATGTTACCGCGTGTGATCACATGGCGTGTTGTCTATGTGCATCTGACCATATTAAATATATTGGATTGATAAGTACTGACATGCGTCGGATGGCGTGGTGTAGCGTCGCGTTTTGGTAGTATGTTTCCGCCTTTATAGTAGACCGTTATATGTCCATAGAGTTAGGAATGAAACAAGGGTATCGGTCAAATAAATAGAATGCACTTCAAAAATTAGTATTTTTAACTTAGTAGGTAATCAATAATTCGGACATCACATGATGAAAAAAAAAAATATCAAAATAAAAAAATCAGAAACGTAACAATATTTTCTCTTCAAACACAAATTAAAATTGAAAAATTAATGAAATTTTCTAAACATAACAAATTGTCTATTATATAAAAAATAAGAAAGTAAATTGCACCAATAAAAATGTTCAATTATTGTTGCACGTCAACAAGTTGAGGCACCTGGAGTTACAAAGAACATTAGCTTTCTTTTTATTTTTTTGCAATTACATTTTTTACTATTTTCATTATGCCCGCTGTAATAGTTTTGTAACTCTATGGTAAATTCTTCCTTATTAACAATACCTAATATTTCTGAGTTTTGTCGATCGACAGGCTCAATATCCGACATTGTAAATACGAGATCACAAAGGTAAAAATCACGCGAATAAAAAATATTAAAACACGGAAAATGTATGTAATTTAGACTATGTTTGGAGACCAACACTAACTTAATTATCATTCAAACTGCACTTCTTTGGTCAATCACAGATTAATTTTACTTCCACAACAATTTCATATAACTTTTCACGTTCACTTTCAACATCCTAAAGCTGTGAGTTACTTTCAAGACGACATCAATTTACATTTACCAAAACACCGTTTGTTTACATTCGACAACAAACGAATTAACAAACAAATATTGTCGCCACCATGGCATATTCCGTTCAACCAATCAGCGCGTGGCATATTCCGTTCAACCAATCAGCGCGCGAGGTGCGTACCGTTTCACAATTTGACGATTTCACTTCGATAGATTATAATCTACCGAATAATAATACGTTAAATTGTAAGCAGTACGTTGAGTTCACAATTTTTCGACAGTTTACAATCTCGCGAGATAGATTACAATCTAACGGTTTTTACAATTTTACGTTGACATATACTCGTATCAAATACTTTTAACTTTATGTTTAGTGCCAGTTCTCAAATCAAGGGCGTAGAGAAGAACTGGCAATAAACTCTCCGCCACTCTTTTTAATCGCCATGTTTTTTTTAACACAACGTTTGTAAGGAGCTGCTTAAGGTGTATAAGTTGCGTGAATATCGCCGGTGTTCGGCTTGATGTCATGTATTTTTACCTTTTGTACCAATAAGATATAATTTATATTCGAGGTGGCGTCGTTAGAAACATTGCTCCAAATAGCAATGGATCAAGCGAAACAGTTGACGAAAGCAGAACATTGTTGTGTACTCTTGGTTGACGTTGAGCGAATGGAGCTAGTGAAGAGATTTACAGGAACTACGAATACGGTAAGTTTTGGAAGCATTATGGGGTTTTGCCCTACATTCGTTAATAGGTCGACCTCGTGACTATACCAAGCGTAACGTAAGGAATACACTGATCTAATTTTATACATTGTGAGTAGAATAAATTCGTATATTACTAGTATGCAGAAAATATTAAAAGAATTTTTCTTACCAGGATGATAAAGAAATGTCTGAGCGTCGTTTTCCAATGGACGTTGGCATAACGGGTCAGGTGATAAGTACAGGCACTTTGATAAACTGCAAAGTCGCCAAAAACCACCCTGCGTATTATTCTGAAATAGATTGTAACTCGGGAGTTGAATGCAAGTACGTATGTTTTTGGTGCTAAAGTTTTGCAGCAAAGTTTTTAACAATTTCATATTAAACTGTTTCGCATAAATGGAATCTATGACTCAATTGCGTGGGATGTTGTTAATGTTTAATGCTTGATACAAGTCTCAGGCAAAAATTATTGAAGTGAAACTTCTTTAGGCGCATGAGTGTAAAATTTTTACGGATACGTTACGAAGATGTGCAGCGCTTTTGTCGAAGAAAAGGTAGAGAGCGATTGAGACCGATTGAGAGAGAAAGCAAATCACCTTATAGATTTTTTTTAAACTAAAATTTCTTAAAGAGAATTTATGAAATATTGTTTCTTTTATGCTTTTAATTTAAACGAATTTAAAAAATTCAATTTATTATTTGTATGAATTTTCGACACTTAAAATTTTAATGACAATTAAATTCCTAACATATCTTCCTTTTTCCCTCCCTCTACAAGACTTAAAAATTCGTTTGCCAAAGAAGTTTCACTCCTTACATGTGTACTTTGTACGCACTCACTTTTTATATTTAGGATTGTTATAACAAATATCATTAAAATCGATGATTTTCTAGATCCATCCTTTGTTTTCCAATCCGTGAGCAAACCGGTATTATTGGCGTTGGGCAATTAATCAATAAAATTGGCGATCCGTATTTCGATGCAATGGATGAGGAAATGGCTCTCGCATTTAGCATTTACTGTGGAGTCTGTATCATGCACTCGGTGGTCTATCAGAAGATTCAAGAGGCGCATATAAGGAATGCTCTAGCTAACGAGCTGGTCATGTACCACATGAAAGTACGAAATATTTTAATTCGAATGTTTCGATTTATTTGGTGTTTTTTTGAAATCGCGATTAACCAGTATAAGGAAGTGGAATGCAGTACTTCTGTAAACCAAATCAATTATACTTGTAATATGAAAATATTATGTATGTATACAAAAATAGTGATAAGTTTACTAGAATAGAACATACGCACAATGTTAATACACGGAACAAACGCAGGCTGCAATTTCCCCGTACTAGACTATCTTAAGTTAGTCATTCTTTTTTGGGGAAAGGGATACTCTTCTTTAATAAAATCCCAGAGGCTCTTTTATCTCTGCCTTACAAAAAATTTAAGAAATGTATTAAAGAAAAGCTGTGTAAAAAGGCTTACTATAAAGTCAACGATTATCTAGTTGATAAAAGGGCCTGGGACTAGTGCTAGACAGGCTACTTCTAATTAATTTGCGATATTTGTTTTAAATAAGTGTTGTTTGATGATTTGCTGTTTTAAAAGAGTACCGAGAGTTTTTTACGCCGGCTTTTTCTCTCGGCCTACACCCTCTGTCTTCTTTGCCGATGAGTAGGGATGCCTTCAAATTTAATGACGTGGAATAAGTGATACATGTATCTTATGTTCCATAATAAACATATTTTATTTTATTTAATATGTACTAAAAAGTTGTATTATTATTATTAATAGAAGCGATGTCTTAAAGGTCGGTGACTCTGAAGTATCCCGTCTGTTAGAATGCTCTGGTTTTCACAACCATCCGCACCTGAACAGTCTCCATTTTAACATTCGTGCGCTGCCCCTACGGGAACTACCTTGTTATGTGCTGAAGATGTTCGACGATCTTGGATTTGATAAAAAGTATGTTACCTAGCTATCTTTAGACAAACTTTAAGGTTTCACAGGACAGCATATACCTTATCGAATGAATCTGCATCAAAATCCTTGACACCTTATGTTTTTTTTATAAAATCTGGGGGCCAAGCAAGCCATGAAATGCAGTTACTGCATACCCTGGTACGTTTATTTTGGCTACACAAACGTACAAAAAACATGTATTTTTCCTTTCTTAAATTAATGTCAATTTCCTATTCCTTTATAGCTTGTTGTACTTGGTAAGTCTAAATAAATCATATCCACTAAATATTCGTTTTATTACAACATCCACATACAATTTTAAATCATTTTCAGGTTCAATATAAAGAAGCACAAGCTTGCCCGCTTCATACTTCACGTGAAAAAAGGCTATAGAGATGTGCCATACCACAGCTGGCTCCACGCATTTAATGTTGCGCAGTGGGCCTATGCTGCGTTGACTAATTACAAACTTATTCAGCAAGGATATTTGAGGTAGAGAATTTGTAATCATTCGTAGCTAGGAAAATGCTGTACATTTAATTTGTAATCTTAATATATATAATTTTCGTGTCACGTTGTTTGTCCGCTATGGACTCCTAAACGACTGAACTGATTTCAATCAAATTTGCACACCGTGTGTAGTTTAATCCAACTTAAAAGATAGGATAGCTTACATCTCAATTTATACCCGCAATATCATTTCATTGAAAAATATTTGTTTATTATTTAATAGTCACAATTCTAGCAGATGGCGCTGTGTTGAAAGTACCAACGTTTCGCATAAGCTACAATTAAATGGCATTACCACCAAAAAAGCATGTTGGTCCCCATGACTGGTGTTCTCCTACCGTTTCCCTTGAATAGTTTGCTACTATGTAATATAACAAAAACCTTAGCCTCAGCAAGCTTGGCCGGTCTGCTAGTAATATTATAAAAATGACATTTTAGTGATTTGCAAGCACTCATGTATGTGATAGCAGGCTTGGTGCACGATATGGACCATCGAGGTACAACAAACAACTTTCAAATTCAGGGCCGTAAGTATTTGAATATTTATTTCGTAATCTTACAGCTAACATAAATAATATATAACAAAAAACAATTATACTTAGCTATATGCCAAAGATGAAATACTTAATATACAGTGTCATCTCCGTATAACGATCGATCGATATAACAAAAACAATATAATATTTTGGTTGGCTTAACACAAAACCCATACAAAAAAAAAACTATAAAAAAATATATAAAAATTTAGGTACACATACAATTACGTAAAGTAAAGAGAAAATATACTAACATAGTGTACGAGCCAAGGCTGTACATTTTGCCCACTCTCGGCTTCCTTAGTTTTATAATCGTGATTATTCCCTACGTACGTGCCAAGGCTCGTACATTCCGATCATCTACAAGCATAACAATTTCCTATGTATGTACGTGCCCTGGCTGTACAGTTTGATCACTTATAAGCATGACGATTTCCTAAATCGTCGGAGTCACGCCCCGAGAGTATAGCCCGACGCAGGCACTCTCTTCGACTGTTACTATGCAGTCATTCGCAGTAATTAACTAAGTCATAGGAGTTTCACCCCGGGAGCATAGCCAGACGTAGGCACTCTCTCTGCTTGTTAGATTGCACTTATTATATAGCAATTAACATAATAGTTATTATTTCGCTCATATTCTATTGTATAACGCGAGTGATAAATATAGAGTAAATTCAAATTATTCTATTATTTCGAACCCCTGATGATCCAGGAACCGTACACATAGATTAAACTACATGAATAACACTAAAATAAATTGTAAGAAGTGTAAACTTTAAATACTGGAAATAAAAGGCTTTTTTATTTATAACGCAACAGCAGTCTATTACGATGAAATATTTTCATATTTAGACATCAACAACGCATAACGAAATGTCTAGAAAGGCACCTGAGCTCATAAACAGTCGTTTGCCTTTGTTATTATTATTAACACGTTTGCCATTATTCTTAGATTTCATTTCCTGTAGGAAATTTTGATCTCAGTATCCTCTTTTTTTTTTTTTTTTTTTTAACGTCAGGAAATGCTTTTACGCATATCCCTGCTGAATTTTACTCCAGCAGGGATTATGTGGGACTCAGACATAATATCTTCACACCTACCCACTAAAACCTGACGGATGCCTTCGGCTCGCCAAAGGGCGGAGGCAGGTAACAGCTGAGCCCTATCCTTACCCCCGCCAAACGCGAATGCCACAATATCAACGTGACTCCTCCCACGAACAAATCATCAGCATCTTAACTTAGGGCAGACGTGCGAAAGCACGGCGTCGCTGCCCCGGTCGTCGTTTTCTTACCGGCGGAGCATCAGAATTATTTTCACGCTGACGCTCCGCATTCTCTTTCTCAATCATGACGGCCTCACAAAAAGCCTTGAAGGCATTCCAAGGGCCGTCATTGTCAGCTTCCACCATTCTTTGGATAATTAGTGGAAGCGACAGATTGCCAACAATGCTATCAGCAAGGACCGAGCGAAAGCCGTCCCAAGCCGGACACTCCTCAACAGTGTGCCTCACCGTATCCTCTCTACAGTCACAATGATGACAAGCAGGTGTCGCCTCTCTTCCGACGATTCGATGCAGGTAACTCCCAAAGCATCCATGCCCAGAGAGAACCTGAACGAGCCGATAGGAAAGCGATCCCCACCGTCGGTCCACCCAGTGTTTCAAGAAGGGACGAATAAGATCAACAGTTTGTAAACCAAACCGACATTCACTTAACTCATCCCTCCATTCTAGCAAAATTAGGCGGCGATACTCCTCCTTCCAGACCTTGACTACCTCCAGAGGTGGGTCAAAACCACCACTCCTGGCTTCAGCTCTTCTCCAAAAAATTTTACCCAAAGCCAAAGCTTCCAAATGCCAAGGCGGAGTGGCGGCTATGACACATGCCGCGTCACAGGATACGGTACGGTATGCCCTAGATCTCAGTATCCTAACCTAACCTAACCTAACCTAACCTAACCTAACCTAACCTAACTAAATTGTCACCTATCTATTATTTGTCATTGGTAAAAATTTGGTGTTTTTCTCTTCTCTCTCTATAAAGAAGACAATGCTTATTCCCTTGAAATTTGTTATAAAGAGTTTACACTATATATACAAAGGTTCAAACATTATATAAAACGCGATATAAAACTACGAGTCTAACACTATATTATACAATAAAAAAAGGGTGCGTGTACTTATGTACGCGCGTAAGAAGTTGTACTTCTTTGGCATTATTAAAAATAGTTTTTGAATTAAATAATCAAAGACTGGAAATGGAGTCATTATAGTCAATAAAGTTCAGTTTACCTTTGAAAAATTAAATAAATAAATATTTATTAATATTATATTTTCATTTATTATTATTTTCTAATATTAATTAGTATTGATATAAATATTCAATTTAAATCACTTCTGATTATAATTCAGACGCACATATAAAATTATATGTATAATAAACTACCCACAGATATAAAAAATATTACTTCTATCAATTCATTCAAATCGAAGCTAAGTGAATATGTTAAACAAAATTACTTTTAAATTCATTTCTTATAATTACTTTTAATTCATATTTCTTTGGTTACTTTTATTTTTAAGTTTATTGCATGTACGGCTATCTTTTATTGTGATTATTTTAAGAACGACTACAATGTTATGTTAATCTAGAGTATTATTCTCATGTAAGTGACATTTTGTCTTTTTGAGAAATAAAGTCTTAAAACCTAAATTCGCACATGTATAATGAAAACAAAATAAAACACGTGTTTTAAATGTAGAAACTCAAAGCATGTGGATAAATATTATAAATATAAATACACAGTGAACAGAGGCGGCGTGCGTGCCAACATGCGCCACTAACTTCATACTGATAATTTTGTGTAACGGTGCGCGCGCATCGTAAAATTTCACTCTCATCAATTTTTCATAACGCGCCTAAAGAAGTATAACTTCAAAAATATTCGTAGGGAGAATTCGTAGGGTCCGGGAATCAATCAATTTTGATGTGTTCCAAAGATGTAGGAGAAAGGAACTTGTGAAATCTTCATCTGTAAAAGCATAAGATTTCCGATTGTTTCGGTGTGTCTCTGAAATTACTAAACAGATTTTTATGCAGTTTTATCACTATTTTGTTGTCATATAAACATAATTTTCCAACAAAGTCCTGTACGGTTCTTGGGTCACCGGGGTGCTTTAAATAATAGAGGATTTTATTTTTACTCTATATTAACTACTCGCATACAATAATAGAATATAAGCGAAATAATTGCTAATGAATGAATGCAATGTCACTGTTGAAGAGAGTGCCTACGTCTGGCTATACTTTCGGGGCATAACTCCGACGATTTAGGAAATCACCACGCTTATAAAATTAAGAAAGCCTGAGTGAGGAAAATGTACAGCTTGGCTCGTACAGTAACTTTTATAATAATACTGCGGTCGCCTAATTCCTTTCATTTGTCAAATTGGTTCCTCTCATGTTTGTAAATAAATATTTCAGAGACGACTCTAGCAGCGCTATACTCGAGTGAAGGTAGCGTAATGGAGCGACATCACCTCGCACAAGCGATGTGTGTGCTCAACACGGAAGGATGCGATATTTTGGAGACTCTCCCGAGACGGGACTACGACAGAGCCATTATGACGTTACGGGATTATGTTCTGGCGACGGATTTGGCTAACTATTTCAAGTAAACGATTTGAACCTTTAATGCATATACATTTCTTTGATCACGAAGGCTACAGATTTTTTTGTGTGTAGATTAATTTATAAACCCTTTTGTTAAACCTGGTTAAATGATGAGATATTGTAAAAACATAGTTAACCCACAATTCTTGTCGATCATCGCATTTATGTATGTTTTTATGATTGAAACGGATAGGAGGCTCATCTGATGCTAAGTGATACCGCCGCCCATGGACACTCAGTGTCAGAGTGCTCGCGAGTGCGTTGCCGGCCTTTAAATCATATATAATATAGGAATGTTATTACAATAAATTGAAGCATTAAAATTAGTTAAGTTTTTTGTTATGTTGTTACGTCATTATAGTTCCACTGTTATGATAGATGAGAAAATTTAAAGTAAATAACTTGTGTGAATAAATAAAAAGACGCGTAGTAAATAATAAGTACAGTGGTTCGCATCTCTACGCCGGCCTCATTCCCCAAAGAGTATCATATGTTTATTTTAAGCATAATTTGTAGGAATCTCAACGAATTTCGTGCAATATCGTATGACTACCAAAAGGGTAATCGCGGTCATACCACAGCTCTGCAGTCGTTGCTAATGAACGCAGCCGACCTCAGTGACCAACTCAAAGACTGGGGATGTGTGAAGAAGACCGCTGTTAGTTTTTATTGTTCACGCTTATCATACTTAGTTCTTTATAATTGTCGCTTATATTTTACATAATAGTTAAAAACTGTACGTCTGGTACTTTCCCATAGTGTCTTTGCCTACAATAATGGGAATTGTAAAGGTACATTATTAGTGGCTTCAGCGTGCGACTCTCATACCTGAGGTCGTAGGTTCGATCCCCGGCTGTGCACCAATGGACTTTCTTTCTATGTGCGCATTTAACATTTACTCGAGCGGTGAAGGAAAACATCGTGAGGAAACCGACATGTCTTAGATCCAAAAAGTCGACGGCGTGTGTCAGACACTGGAGGCTGATCACCTACTTGCCTATTAGATTTAAAAATGATCATGAAACAGATTCAGAAATCTGAGGCCAAGACCTAGAGGTTTCAGCGCCACTGATTTATTTATTTTTAATTTTGCTATTAAATGTGTAACGCTCAACTTATAACTATTCCCAAAACATACATATAACTCAATACATGTGCATCAATCACAAGAAATACAAACATTAAATAGAATAGGCAATTTAAAAATTTAATATATTGCTTCTTTGCAATTGTTTTTGGTGACTGAAGAATGGTTGCAGCATCTTACGCTTGAAGACAATTTATGTTCATGAAATGTTTCATTCGCACAGTCAAAATTCACTAGTAGCCTTACAATAACAACATTACTTCATATTTTGTTGTAAAATTCTCAACCCTCAAATCAATATCGCACGAAAATGATTATTCAAAGTCATTACGAAACACTATACTGTACTTAAAGCAGCTGTTTCGTAGGCGGCAGTACTTAGCGAATTCTTTAAGCAAGGCGAATTAGAGAAGAGTAGAGGTGATCTGCCTCCGAATATCATGGACAGGGAGAAGTGCTTCATTCCAGACCTTGAGATTCAGTTCTTGACTACAACGTGTGTGCCATTATTTGAGTGAGTAGTCACGGATTTAATGATACTTGTTTAGTTACGTATTGGTATAATTATTTTTTTTGTATGAATATTCTTGTGAACAGAATAGTTGGCCGAATAATCCCGAAGGCAAGCCCTTGCTTAAAAATTATCGAGAACCACATTGAGAGGTGGGACGCAGCTATTCCTATTTTTGCAGAGGTAACAACTTTTAAAAAGCAGTAGTTCCATATATGACCTTCTACTTACATTACTTACTAGTGAGAAGCAAACCAGCCTATAAAATTATTACATACTATACTTGTCGTTTTCATTTACTTATTGAAGAACTTAATTCAACCCCAAATAACAATATCAATTCATTGGAATCTCTACACTTTTGTTTCTAATAGTTTGCGCCTGATAACATTAAGAAGGCAACTGCGAGTGCTTTATTACTTGTAATAAATTGATTCAGCTATTGACTGAGTTTTCGAACTAGTAACCGTAAATTAAATTTTATGCGATTAAAGAATCAATTTTAAGGTTCCCATAACAGCTGGCCTCTCAGTCCTCCTGAGTCCTGAATTGGACAACTTGATAGAACAGAACCTCAAGGAGAAAGAAAGACAGCGGTTGGAAGCTGAGCAGGAAGGAGATTAATATATCTTTATTTTGATAGTTATTGTTTGTTTCAATTACATTGTTTGGAATTAAATTATTACATTATGTATTTATGTTTTTGTCTCCCACAATCGCCGTTAATCGCAATGAAAATAATTTAAAGAAAAGTATCAGAATACGTCTATTTTGGGTGCCGATTAAGATTTTTATTTACACACCAGAAGTCGCCAACAGGGTCAGCCGCATTAGATAGTGTTACGTAATTGACTTATACGAGGGCGGCATTGAAAATTTCGGGAATCAAGGAAGTGACACAACATTACTATTTAAAAAAAGGAATTTATTGCTTTTCGAAGTATTCTCCGCGAAATTTGACACATTTTTCCATACGATGGAACCAATCATTGAAGCAACCATTCCATTCGGAAGTTGGGGTCTCCAAAATGGCCGTTTTGTAGGCGTCCACAGCTTCTTCAGGTGGTGAAAATGTCTGACCACGCAATTTATTCTTTATTTTAGGGAAAGTATAGAAATCATTAGGGCTTAGGTCGGGGCTGTACGGCAGATGGTCTAATAATTCTATGTTTTCTTGCTCTAAAAACTCTTTTGTTCTGTGCGCGGTGTGAGAACTCGCATTGTCGGAGTTCAGAAACGACCTGTGGCAAACAAATGCTAGCATACCATTCTGCATTAACCGTTCTTTGTCCCTCAAAAGGAATAGACGCAACATGGCCGCCATTTTTTTTGCAACACTCCGTGAACGAACAATTTTCGTTGGCTTTAACTCATTTTCGAACACCCAAATTCGTGACTGGTTTTTTGTTTCGGGTTCGTACGTCATATCCAGGATTCGTCACCTGATACGATGTTGTATACAGCATTTGAGGATCGTGCGTGGAATCTTTCGAGAGTTCTGACGCACCAAGTAACGCGAGCCGCTTTTTGCTCTTCACAGAGCGAATGCGGTATCCATCGGGAATAGTATATTTCATTACAAGTGCGGAAAGCGCCGAAGGTGAGGGTTGACAGTCGGAACAAGTTGCAATGACGGTTCCGCACGTGTACTGAACAACTATTTTTAATACAGTTGCGAAAAAATTATGCAATTTAATAAAATAATAAAAAAACAATAAACTCAACTCACTAATCATTTATTTCTTATACAAATTATTGTTCACATATACATTGGTACAGTTTTTTATACTAACTGGAGAAGTTTTAGGTTGCATATTTATTTACTGTTTGAGACAAACTATTATTTATTTCGTATGATTTTTTATGTATATTTAATATATAATATAACAAACAACTAAACGCGCAAAGAACATTTTTGGAAAATGGCGCCAACCGTAAAAGAATATAAGCAGATTTTTTTTTCTTCACCCATTCTGGGTAGGCAAAGGGAACTATGCCCATACAGCCAAGTCTTCAGTACAATTTTTTATTGATATGAAATGAAATTTAAGGAGATGAAATGAAATCTGACCTAACTCATCGAATCAAATCATTTAATCTTATATTGAAACAACATAGCTTCTTTTTAGAAATATTTGCATGAATCATAAAAAATTCTATGAATTTTTTTTAGTAAAAACTTCGTGGTTGGTTTTTTTCTTTTTAATAGACATTATTTTGACAGTTGGGAAAGAAAACGCACTAGTTCGGAAAAGGTAAAAAAAAAAACACGAGTGTGTAATAGCCCACATCCCGAACGCTATACGTCCCTGCAATACGCCACTTTTTGAGCAACTGTATTAAAAAACAACTTTTTTACACCTAATTGTTCATGCAAGATTATTTGTATTTGACTCATGCCAATGTCTAAAGTTGCCTGAATTTCGCGGTATGTCACATGTCGATCTTCCTCAATCAGCTTACGCACAGCATCAACGTTGACGTTCTTGGGTGACTGCAGTTTTTGGACGACCTTGGAAGGGATCATCACTGAGCTTGACACGTCCACGTTGAAATTCAGCAAACTAGCAATAAATTGTGGTTTTGGATGGGGCTTCATCACCAAATGCAGAAATCATCCGGTCAACACACTGTTTTTGTGATAAACCACTTCGAAAGTCATAATAAATCATCGCTCTTGAATTTTCCGAGTCAATTCCATTTTCTCAACGACTAAACAAGTTTGACAAAACTTTGTGACCGGGCCGAGACCGAGAATGTTTAAAAAAAAAAGTATTCGATTTTTAAAACCAAGGAGTTTTCAATAAAATGATTTAAATCTGACAGTAATGGCGCTTCTAAACGGGCCATGTTTTGCTGCAATTGATGGCTGCAACACTGTGGCCCAGCAACATTGCAAATAATAGTGGCCACACTATGCAATATTGCAGTAATGTCCCGGCCATATAGCCAAACATGTTTTGTATAGCCACATATGGCCGATCTTGCCCCGATGGGTTGCCGGACGATCGCTAGGCTATCGAATTTAACTGCAATATTGCACAGCCAGTTCTATTGTTGTTTCAGTCACTCTCTTTGTTATGGCACAGTGTATCCTTTTCTACGCGACAAGACGTTTGCTATGAGTGAAGTATGCCTGCTGATATATTCTGTGTTTTGCGATCAGCTGTATTTGAAATTAGATTACTACGTAAAAATGACTGCTTTTGACATTATAGTTCTTGAATAATTTATTATCAAGGCTTATTTCTAGACTCAAATTGTCTACAGTTTCACGCATATTTAAGTAAGGTCGAATCCACGATCTCTACTTTTTTCTTTTTTAAAACAATAAGCTGCTGCGACAAGTGTGATTTCGTCAGCCATTGTTGCCGGTTTGTATAGCCCGTTTAGGAGTCTGCATCATGGGCCATACTATTGCAGACATATTGCAACACATTGCCCAGCCATAGATTGTTCGGCCATCAGCTGCATTAAAATATTTTTGTAATGGCCGGGCAAGTAGTTGCCAACAGTGCAGCCATCAATTGCAGCAAAACATGGCCCGTTTAGAAGCGCCAGAACAGTGGTATTATTCCATTCCCGATACTTTTAGTGCAGCCCTCGTACGTCAGACGCAATTTTTTTAATTGTGATGCCAGGTTTCCTCGTTTGTCTTACCAACGCCTATCAAACCTCAAGATAGTACATAAAATACTATTTATTGTAAAAATCTAATTATTACATTAAAATTGTAACGGATATTGTCTAATAAATAAAACAAGGATATTTAAAATATTTATTTAATAAATGTACCAAAAGGTATACTTTGGATATTATCACAAATGTTAACGCGAATAGAGAAAATCTATCACAGCTACAGTCGATTACTTAGATAACGGAATGATATTTTTAATTACAATGCAAGTTAACCAGTAAGTCCATTTTCTTTGGGCTGAATTAATTCGTCGATAAACTCCTTGACCATGGTCTCAAGCTCCATTTTCTTCGCCTCTTGAGCGCTGAAAGTATTCATTCTTAAATCAACAGTCCTCAGTGTAAAACTTTCATCATAACTTAAAAAGTATTTTTTTAACAGGATTTTACATTGATGGAAAATATCGTGCACCTGGCGTGCCTGAATTAAAAATACATATACATATTCTTTATGAATTAAAAAGCAATCTGAGGCCAAGACCTAAACAGGTAAAAGCTCACCAAACAGTATCGGCCTGGCAGACGAGTTCCGTGTAGTACTTGAGCTTCGGCTCGGTCCCACTCGTGCGCACCGTCACGCTGAGCCCGTTCGAGCAACGGAACGTTATCATTTCACCGCTCGTGTACTTCTGGTCCAGGCCGGTGCCAGAGATTTCTGGAAAGGATTAACCAGTGGTAGAAAAGTAATCATTCATTGACTTCAAAACGATAAAGGTTAAACGATTTTTCATTCTGTAGAATTCTGACAGCTATCATTTATGACATGTCAGAGATGGCAAACCTTTTTGGCCGGGCATATCAATTTCTATATGAGTGAACATCTGAGTCTATAGGTACATTTTATCTGTTAGTGAATGATTATTTTATTAAGGCTGAATTTAGTCTCACGCTCACTGTCAGCGCTCATGGATCCGCGCGTAGTTCGTCAGCGCTGACGCTCAGCGTGGTTCGTTTTAGTATCGTACTGACCGCCTTACTGTACAGACGAAGACCAAAATGCGGAGGGTATTAGTTATTGCTGATTTGTACTACCTATCTCAAAAAAATAAAAACCGGCGACTACGAAGACTCCATGTTCATCCATTGATTGAGCAGAGAGCCGTTGCATGAGACTCTCCTAAAATATTTTCGAACAATGTGTCGACAATGTCCTCCCAGGCTTTGTTTCTTGCATCTTTATTTTTGTAGAGTGGATCGGATGCATCCCACAATTTCTTCCTCAGGCGTACCTCGTTGATAACTCGACCTGTATCCACTTCGCGATTTGCCATGACTACACGCTGACGACGTCCGCTCCGTTCGACACTACAACGCTCTCTGAAAGCAGAGGCGCTCTAGCAATCGTCAGCGCTGACAGCTACGCGGCGCCGACGCGCGACGCGTACGGCCGCGCAGCCATCAGCGCTGACCACCGTGCGCGCTTATAGCTACGCGTCATTCAAAAACGCTTTCTAGAAGTTCATATATCTCGATCGTCAGCGCCGACGGTGCGCGTGCGGTCGGCGTGACACTAAATTCAGCCTAAGTGCGGTGCTCACTTTAAAAGTGGTTTAACGGCGAGTGGTAAGTTCCTTTTCATCACAAACAGTAAAGAACGCAAAAGTTAAGATAACATTGTTTTATTAAAAAGGTTTAATAAACCTGGAATTAGTAGGCAGTGATGGCAGCTAAATAATAAAATAAAGTAATTAAACTAATTTTGATATATTGTTCGTGATATTAAAATATTTGTTATTTTTGTATTAGATCACATGAGTTAGTAAATATTTAAATTTACCTTTTTGTAGATAAAACAGAAAAAATACGTAGCATTTTATTTTTATTGCCCTCAAATGGGTCAAATTTGTCCCTTTTCAAGAATTTTACGGAATGAAAAATCGCAGTAAGGATAGTTTTTTTAAATGAAGGTTTCGAATGTTGGCCTTACTCGGTTCGCCTTCCGAGTCACTTTCTTCTGGAATCTTGACGCCGGCCGTAAAATCATTTAAGAACACCACTTCGCACGGTCCCACTGTTTTTGGGTACTGAAAAAGAATGTTTATCATTTTCAGTATAAAATTCGTAATTACATAAATATAGTTATTCTTACGCGTATCTTATAAATGGGTCTAACGATTGTTGTATAAAAATATTAAAAAAAACGACGGGTTGCACTCCGGGAGTGCCGGCAGAAGTGGAAACTTGAATATTAACGTTGTGCATTTTTGATATTTTGGAATAATTGCTTTAATTATCAGTATAAAAGTACAATAATTTATGTGGTAGAATCCAATATTTATTTATTGCGCTATCGTACACAAACATGACAATTTATATTACATTAAATACGCCGCGCCAGCTGTCTACTCTCTATCCGTCTTACGAATTTTCGATCAGGTCACGTGTCCTGACGCGAGTTTTAAATTTTTACCAATTCCAAAAAAAGCGTACAACGCCGCTAAACAAGTTTTCACTTTAAAAATTCTGAGTCCGTTACACCTTTTTTTACTTAATCATTATTTTAATTCAATGTAATTAACTTATAAACTTAAAATAACTCACAATTCCTTTTCCGTGAAAATTCCTTATGCGAAGAAATATCTTCTGTACGACGGTCGGTTCGTTGAAAATAAAGTACCCGTTGTACGAGACGTGATAGCCGAAGTCACGGTACAACACTTGTAGTTGATTTTGAAGACTCGACCCTCGAGAGTAGAGGTGAGAAGCCAGCGATGCCACCTGGAATAGAACCCAGTAGACGGTGAGACCCCAATCCTATGGTATGAGTTTGAATCCTGGGAAGTAATGGACTTATTCATACAGCGCAGTTAACGCTTGGGGGCGTTCAAGTATTACGTACGCAGATTTAAAGAATAATACTAAATAAACGTATTCATTTTTCTAGGAATCCTCGAAACTGCATTTCGTTTTCAAGCAAAGACAATGTGTGGGTAATATGTGTTAAAAGTAAATAATTACTGTTGACGTAATCATTAAATAAGAAAATCAAAGAAAGGATGTATACCTGAACAGCAGCCGAAACCCCATCCTTATCTGGGACAATGGGACTGCACATGTACCCAATGGCCTCTTCGAAGGCGAATATTGGGACTTTGCCTTCCTTCTTCAAGAGTAATGTTGCGTTGCCTGTAATATAAAACTTTATTTTTGAAATGTTGGCCTGGTGGCTTCAGCGTGCGACTCTCATCCTTGGACTTTCTTTCTATGGTGCGCATTTAACATTCGCTCCAACGGTGAAGGAAACCATTGTGAGGAAACCGACTTGTCTTAGACCAAAAAAGTCGACGCCGTGTCAGGCACAGGAGGCTGATCGCCTACTTGCCTATTAGATTGAAAAATTATTATGAAACAGATTCAGAAATATGAGGCCAGACCTAAAGAGGTTGTAGCGCCACTGATTTTAAAAAAAAAATAATTTGTAATGTTAGTACTGCTACATTTTCAAAAGAAACAGTATGGACCAGTATGAAATAAACATTCGAATTTATAAAGTTATTACTTTTGAGTTTTTGCATGATTGATAAACAACAATATTAGACCAGAAATCCTGTCTTTATTCTCTGATAAATAATCAAATATACAATTTGCGAAATAATGAAAATGTCTCACCCATCCATTTAAACCCAGTGAGGGTCTCAACAAAAAGTCCTTTGCCCCTTGAGACAGCCGCCAACATCTTTGAACTGACAAAACTGGCCAACAGATACACTGGTTCACTGGCACCGGATTCGTCAGATTCAGCTCGGATTAAATGCTGTTTCAATAACCACCATCCCAGAAGAGAGCCCATTTCATTACCAGAGAAAACTTTCCATGATTTTGTACTAAAAGGATATAATATGCAGTTTAGACAATTGTATGGAAATATTATCACTGTTTTATGTTACATTTGCTGAAAGAGATTTTTGCACAAAAAAACATGAATTTGGATTAATAAATAAAAAATAATGCCCTCACTCAATGTTATATTCAGCCACGGCCAGTCTATCTGCATCGGGATCATTCACTAGTACGAGTTGAACCTCATTTTGTTCCGCTAAAGCTTTACTCATCTCGAGACATTCTTTTTCTTCAGGGTTTGGGAAGACCACAGTCGGAAAGTCAGGGTTGGGATCTTGTTGATCTTTAACACTTAGAGGAGCCTGGAATATGTCACAAATATAGGTTAATGAAGTTTTTCAAAGCCGAATTAAAGCGAGGCCATGTAAGGTCTCTTATGAAAAACATAAAAAGTGTTACTGAAAATCTAGTATTTAGATATTATTATTTATTTATTTTGGTTATATGTAGTTTTATATGTTATTTTGAGTTTTTTTTTGTTAATTATTTATGCACTTCTTGTACTTTACCCTCTGTAGGTGTTTCTTTTTTATTGTTTGTTTTTTTTATATAATAGGGGGGCAAACGAGCTTGCGGTACGACCAAAAAGGGCAGTCTTCGCAGCCCATAGACACCCATTTTTAGTGGGTGCGTACGTGCGTAGTGGGCCTTTGAGGGAGAAGTACACTCGCTTTTTAAACATTTGGAGGTCGTATCTCTGAGGGAAGACCCCCACCGGGAGTCGATTCCACAGTTCGCTAGTTCGCAAAAGAAAATGCCTTGTGAAACGGACTGTGGAAGACCTCCAACCATCAAGATGATGTTGGTGAAATTTAGAGGTCGTACGGCTCGTACGGTGTTGAAAAGAGGCAGGAGGGATCAACCCAAACAATTCTTCCGAACACTCTCGGTAGTAAACTTTGTAAAAAACGCAAAGAGACGCAATGTCTCTGCGTAGCGAGAGAGAATCAAGCCGATCAGTAAGACATTGGAGATTGACTATTCGACAAGCCCTTCGCTGAATTTGGTCAAAAGGAAGAAGCTGGTATTTGGGATATTGGTTCTATAGGGTTGCCTGGAAGAAATAGCTAGTTAGGGATAAGGCCGCCCGTTGCCTAATAACTTGTGTAACCTGCTTTTTTTATATGTATGTTTTTGTATTAAAGGTAACAAAGTTTAAATAAATAAATATTTTACTGAGTGATATTCTTTATCAATTTATATAAGACGAAAATATTCCCCTTTCAATAGTCTACCTTTAGATTGGCAGCAGCAAAAGCCTTCAAGATAAACTCATGGCCAACTCCATGCATTGCGCTATACACAGTAGATATGTTAGCCTGTTTATTCTGTTCCAGTACATCATTATGAAGACTACTTCGAATATACTCCATGTACTTAGTGGTGACTTCCTCCTGACAGTTCTTGACCATTTCATTATTTTTCAGCTCATCAATATTCCAATGATCATCTGGGATCCTAGAATTAACTGCTAAGAATTAAACTTGCCAATCAAAATTTATACTAGTCCTTATATGGACATGAAACTCAAATAAAGCCTATAGTTCTTTATATAGTACTTTGTTTACTTATATTTTATAAAAAAAATCTTGTATAAAGAGCGAACACAAAAGAGTTAATGAGATATTATCTTAATTCAGGCCAACATTTATTACAAGGTGAGAGCATGCAGTGACAAGTATACATTAAAATGAACTACTCACTCTAAACAGTTTAAAATTTCATCCAAAATACTGTCATCATGTGGTGAAATCACTTGAGACCCATTGCCCCAGTAAACTTTGTACCCATTGTCCTCTTTGGGATTATGGGACGCTGTCACCATAACTCCAGCAGCAGCACCATAGAGAATGGTTGCAAAAGAAACCAGAGGTGTGGGACACACTAATGAAAATAGATGCACTGGTATTGATGATGAGATAAATACTTTTGCTGTTAATTCGGCAAACCTAAAATATATTTTATTAATAAATTCTTGTTTTTGTTTTTATTATCACATGTATTAAACATTTTATTTCTGAGATCCCTTATCAAATGTACTCACATGCTTAGTGTAGTGAGATAAACATTTCGTCATAAACTTAAGAAAAATAAATACCTTTTGCTATTATATCTGCCATCAAATCCAACCACAATACCATTGCTTAGTTGACTTTGAGTACAAACTTTTTTAACATAAGAACAAAGTCCCTGAAATTAACAAAAAAAAGGTTCACTGTACACTATTGACTTTTCATGAGTTGCAGGATAAAAAGTCAATATAAACTTGTGATAGAGCTAAGCTTAAACAATTCATGAGCGTAGCTATCTCAGTATATTTATATTTAATACTTATAAACCAACATAGCTTACATAAATATACAATAGTTTATTTTGTTCAATCTTAAGTTTAATACTTAAATACCTAAACCTAGGTAAAATTACATATAGCTTGTACATTTTTAATGGTTTTCATTAAACTCATGTTTTCAGCTACTACTATTTGTACTGTATACAAAATAAAATTCATATGCTTCACCTGTGCTGTTTGTAACACAACTACATCATTCATGCACATGTAACCAGCACCCATTCTTCCACGGAGTCCAGCTGTGCCGAATTTCTGTCTACTTAACATTGTTTTCTTTAATTTATCCCATCTGCAATGCTCTATGTCCTCAAGAACTTCGTGGTGTGTAATAGAATTCTAAAATAATTAAATAGATAATAAATATAAAATCTGTTTACCAAGTTTAAAAATTAGCACCGTTTAAAAAATAACAAACCTTGTCGAGTTTAAGCCAGCCGTGTAAAGCACTATTTAAATTAGAATCACCACTATTAATTGAAATCATTTTTAAACTTCAATATTTACTTAGAGTTACAATAATGATTTTCAAAGTAACAGACAAGTCCACGATCACTCACAACGTAAGTAACAAAATTAAAATAATCTCGCAATACGGGGGGGCAGATTACTCTCGGGTAATCGATAATGAAACCTTGAACTATGAGATAAGAGTTTTCTTTAAATACTTTGAAATAATAACAATTAATAAACAATGGATTTAGTTCACAATTCACAACTCATTACTCAGCCTTGGCCAACAAAACAAAACTTGCCGGCAGCAAGAGCTAAGAAATTGGATTGGTTTGTTGGCTGTCTCTGCCACTGTCAACGTCAAGAAGTGATTGTCAATGTATCATACATTGACAATCATATAAATCTCAATCTCTCCGTTAACTTGATAATCTATAAAACTATATTTGCCTTCAGCCTTCTGTGCTAACAAACTGCGTAATGTTTTGCTAAGTTTCGAACGCATTATATGTTTGCGTTAGCCACTAAGCCATTAGATCGATCATACTATAAAAAACTAGTTTTTTTGTTATACCGTAGCTATTATAGGTCTTCAAGTAAATCAGGGCAATAAATGCAGAAAAGATTAAAAAGCGAGCTTAAAAAGTTGGGACAAACATTATAGGTCTAATGTTTGTCCAAAATAATCTCCACCAGCTAGCTTAAAAAGTTTAGTATTTTAGATAAAATTTCAGGGGGTTTTCTATTATTATCGCATATTGTATCAAACTGGTAAAAACTGCATTAAATTGAGTAATGAGTATCTAATCTACATTATATTATATATAGTATAAACGAATTGAAAAGCCGGATATCAATTTTGAACTTGTGGCATTCTGTTTCTAAACTTTCATAGGTTATTAACGTAACCTGTCTGCCAGGGTCACACTGATTAGGAAGTTGATTTTCCAATCAGTGGCCAATCATTTAATTGTAATTGCAACACCGGAAACGACCACTCCACGCCCCTGGGGTTGCCCCTGCACGTCCGTCCGACCATGCTTTTAATTCATCGGTACATGCTCTTTTTTTGTTACGGCTTTAATAACCTTTATGTGAGTTTCATGTAAATATGACTTTACAAATACCAAATAGTCCTTTAAAAATCGGTAACAAAATAAAATTCAGCAATAAACAACCGTTTCAGAGCTGGTCACGGTGACTATTGATACCACTTAAGTAATCAAACTTTAACTACGTTTATTAATTAAGTATCACGTAAATTATGCATATGAATATCAGTTAAGCACTCACAACCTTACAAGCACACATATTAAGAGCCCGTCTTGATCTGAGAGGACTGAAAAAAGTTACATTTATTATATGCAATGGTATGAGTATGATTAGGTAAATTAATAATTTATAAAAGTTTCACGATCTCGGATAAGTCCTAAATAGAAAGCAACGTGATATGGGAGAGTAATTACAGAATAAACAGCGAATAAGCCGACTACGGTTGCTAAAAAGCACTCCAAACGTGTATATTATTAGGATGCTTTTTCGATAATAATTCAAAATAATCTGAAAAAATAAATATTTCAAATCAAATAAATTACAGCGTCTTTAGGACATAAAAAGGTAACTTTTCACCAAATTCCGTGGATGTTTTTTTTTTAGTTTTTGTAAAAGATAAAAATAAAAAACCAAAAACTTAGTTTTTTTAATTTTTCACACAAATTTTGAGGTTATGTGAAAAAGTGTAAATACAAAAGTTTTAGATCTTTTTATTATCTACAACTTTGCCATTTGATTTTTTTCCATAGGACTTTTATTTTCGCCGGAAATCGAGATAAACCGTTTCACCCTACGAGTTCCCGACTTACTTACGTATACAATTACTAGATGGAAATGTGGGCTGAAGGTAATTTACCCTGCTATTGAGAAAGTTGAGAATTTGAGCCGTTTGGCAGGAAGTGGCTCTTCGCTATGCCAAAATAATATGAAGACTTGACTAATTTCGGGGCAAAAAACAGTAGAGACAATTCGTCCGGTACTTAGCAACTGGGCAAAAAAGTGGTACTGTTCTGCAGCGTGTCCGCACATGGATGTTTTGGGCGATATTTGCTGTTCTGAGTCGAGTCCCACACACTGCTACTTTTGGAAGCATTTTTATATAATTCTCTAATATAAAAAAGAAGGTGTCTTGAAGTTTTATTTACGAATCACTTATTAGTTTAGAAAATGTTTTTTTTCTAGTATTGTCTTTAGGAATAATTCGAGTATACTTTTTAGGTTTCCATACTATCGCAATGGTAGCATGTCTTTATGGATTTTATTGTTTCTTCTGGTATTGAACCTGGAATCTCTACTTCCTAGGAATCAAGTGACCTACGGCCGTTTTGGCTAATCCAAAACTCCCCGTAACAGAACAGGCTTGAGATCTAGTAAATCTCTCATTGATACTTGAAGTCAAGTATTTTTATAAATAAAATCAAATCTGGCAGTAGCACTATTTGCGATACCGGTCAGTTACAAGACTGAACGCATCGTTTGTTAACAAATTGATTGGCGAATTATATCTAATATTATAAATCGAAATAACAATATTTTTATTTCCATTTATTAAGAAAATCAAAATAAATTAATTAAGTGAAATATGGGACCTGAAAATATCATGTTAGCCTCTGTAGAATTTGAAGTATTTGGTGAAGTCCAAGGTAAGTATTTTATTTTCAAATAATAATGTTTTAATAATTTCATGTCGTTTAAAGAATTATATTTTTTAAATCGTCAGTTTATTGTTTATCATTGTGTCGGAAGTTAGTTTATACTGAAACTGTATGTGTATTTACTTTTATGACTGATTATCGAGATCTCTTATTTTTACAGTTTAATGTGAAAATAAAAATTCGTGTTGGTTATAAAAATTCAATTACTATCCAGTGATGCTTCCACCTATTTTATTTAGGCCTTTGCCCCAGATTGAATCCGCTTCATGGTTAATTTATTATGTATGTAGTTGAACATTCTTTCGTGCCTGACACGTCGTTCATTTTTGTCATCCTTTGGGTCTAAGATATGCCTCACGATGATTTCCTTCACAGTTCGAGCGCGTGTTACATGCGCTCATAGCCAGAAAGTCCATTGGTGAACAGTTGGGAATGAACCTACAACCTCAGAAATGTGATTCGCAGTCTGAAGCCACTATTCCAGCACAGCTCAATATAAAATAAACAATAATTTATTTCGAATTCAGATTGGTACATTATATTGAATCTATAAATAGTTGGGAGAGATTTCCAGTTAGGTCGGAATTGGGTTAAAAGCTTCGATTGCGCAATAAAGCAATAGCTTGTTAAACCTTATTAAATACAGTACTATTATATATATTATACTATATTCCCCACTACCATTAAGTGTCTATTTGAAATCAAGACAATTTTTTAATGAATCCCTACACTCCAGTATATTGTGTATTGTATTTTTTTTACTTTGTATGTCATCTTCGAAATTGCAAGTCCTAGCAACGTGAAAGCATAAAATGCAACAGAATCTAAAACGTATCTTTTCATTAAATTGCCACAGGCTGCCCTGCGGTTCTGTAACTCACTTTTCAAACTCGCACAGCGGTTTTCGCAGCGGCAGTTACAGAATCGCAAGGCTGCTTTCCCCAATGTTTGTAAATAAACCCTGTTTAAATATGTGTCTCTCAAATTGTATTGAGATGATTTTTAATCTGCAGGTTGTTTTTTCACCAAGTACTGCAAAGAGATGGCTGAGCGTTTGGGTATTGGGGGTTGGGTGAAAAATACGAGAAAGGGCACAATCGTTGGAAGGATACAAGGGACCAAGGAGAACTTGGATAAAATGTAATACAAATTAAATAATGATAAATTATTACTTTTAAATTTGCTTACAGAATTTGTTTTTGCTCTATTAAAAGGTTACGGATATTACTTTGTATTGATACTTATAAAAGTTATCGTGTACATTTTTTTAAATAAACATAATTTTATAGGCATAATTTTAAATAAACATAATTTTATAGGTATTCTATTATGATTTTAAAAACTATTTTCATTATTTAAACTTATCTTCCTCAAAACAATTAAGTACTTAACCAGCTTCTATTATTAAGTACGTAGGAGGAGCAGCTTAAATAAAGTATATTTATAAGTTTTGTAAGCATTTATTAATTAAAATCATTGTTTACATTACACCTTTAAAATTCGAAAAGTAGTGCAACTTCCTACTATATTACTGCATTGCAAAGTTACAAGCTTAATTTGGTTTCAATACATTCATACAAAGAATAATAAAAATGCTTTTCAGACCTTTCCTTATATCTTATATCCTCTTATCGCTTTCATGCAATAAAGAGATAGAGATCTTGTCATTATATATTCTAAGGTCCATCAAAAGAAAGCTTAACCTTGCCTCCGTAATCGTTCTGAGTAACTAATTATATCCGCTGCTTGGGATCCTGCCAAGTAGTTCCGTGTTGATCCAATTAGTTCCTTGTCAACACATCAATGCCAGCTATTGAAGTACATTGTTATAATAATAACAATGTCTGTTTGTTATTGCAGTAAGTTATATTGCATAAGATTATGATAATAAAAATCCATCTATTTATTTTATATTGCACCTGTTTCGTTGATAAGTATTTTTATATACAAGTAGATGATAAGCCTTCTATTCACATGTCATCAAGACATAACGGTTTCCTCAGGATGTTTGTCTTCCCTTAGAGTAGTCGAGTAAGTGTAAAATGCGCCAGAAAAATCCCCGTAATTCAAACGCACGACATGAGGGTTGAGAGTCGCACGCCCAAGCATTATCTAGGTCTAGATCTGTATATGTATGTTTTATCAGTAGTAGATCAAATATTAAATTAAGATATTTGTAAGATAATCCATTAATTACTATAAATATATTGTTTTATTGTTTAAGTATAATTTATTATTAATAAAAGGTTGCATTGATTTGTAATTTAGGTTTAAAAGAAATGTCTTCTTTTTCCAGGATTGAGTGGCTCAGTACAAAAGGCTCACCGGAAAGCAAAATAGAAAAATGTGTGCTTTCTAACTTCGAAAACGTGGCACGTCTGGCATTTAGCAATTTTAATATACGTTTTTAAAACATTTTATATTTTTTTTTACCACTGCAATATCTGGGTCTGCTACAAAACCCGCTAAAGCTGTGTCCAAATCTCTCAAAGAGTCGTCGAATCAAAAGAAAAAGTGATTGTGGTTTGCCCATAGACCTTTCAAATTTGAATATCCGTAGCTCAATTTAATCAATTTATGTTAAATACAATATTTTATTTACTTTAGCAATTCAAAGGGGGAACGCTGCCAGTATCTTCGGAACCTTGCCTAAAGGGATTCCTTTTAATGATATATTTTAGTTTATGTTAAGTTTAGTTATTTATTTCAATGTATATTATTTTATTAATCTATGACAAATATTATGATGCTGAGAATAGAAGATTAGACATTACTAGATAAGGTATCGTTAGATAAATATGTAAATGTAAACTTACAGTAATGTTTGTATCGAAGCATGCATTTCTTTATTAAAAACAAATTGTCTATACGCACTTTGTGACAGATGCGATTAGTAGATTGAATACTGTTGAGTTCATAGTTGATAACACATAATGGATCTACTTAGGTGCACTGTCTTTTGTCCAAAGGAATTCGACTACAATTATTTTAATGTTGCATTACATCATTATTGTACTAACGGTCATTGGCGTACATTTCAGCGTGCGAAAGTTCGATTAAGGACCTATCCGGTCGCCAAACTCCAAAAAAGTATATTGTTTCTTTTCATTTTTCGTCATAGTTTCTCGAAGTAGGGCGAATGGAATATATGGTGGAGTTGAGTTGTTTATGTATCCGTTTTTAAAGATCGATACACGATTTAAATAACTTCGCTCGATAGAAAAAAAATCCAAACATAGCCAATTTTTGACACTTTGAATTCATTTTGTGACGAAGATGTATATAGAACATGATTTTGAAATTTATACGATATATTTTATCGCAAGCCAAGTAATCCATTACAGAAAAAAAAATGATAAAATTACATTAATTTAATGTTTTACATAACTAATTCTTATTACGGCCGGCGCGCCTCAGTGCTCCGGCTCTCCGCTGCGTTCTGCGTTCAGCCCCGAGACACTGACACAGCAATTCGTGCCGTTAATATAAGTTCTATTTGTATCGGTAGTTTTACAAGTAACATTTGACACCTAAAACAGGACAAGTATGGGTTCATAGACATATGAACATTTGAATACTAGAGATGTAACGGAATGTAAAAAGACGTGAATAATAAACACATTATTAAGAAATCGTTTATTTGTAGTTGAAAACATTGTATGTACATAAGCCTAATTCTAAATACATATATGTAATAAAAATGGAATGATCTCGAAGTCTGACTTAGATTTGATCACGTGAAGCGTAACATTAAGTATATAAAAATATGACAAAATAAGGCAGCACTTTCACATTGTTCGTTGATGGAAATATATAATACAAAAATATATATATTTTAAGGCACTTTTTATAATGTAAATAGACTGCGCACGGGTGCTATAATAGTCACAGCAGTGAAAAGTATGCTGTTCTTACGACGGATTTGTTAATACAGATATCTGTAAAATTTCGACTCATTTAATATATCCAATTCGCCCAACATTACCGCTATTATTATAGCAAGATTTCTTTATTTTTAGCATACATAAATTCTTCGGATCATATTTGGTCACGATTTTTGTGTCAACAATACAATTTTAGTTTCACTACTAAAGTTAATTGCATTGATAAGTGAACTACGGTAAAATAAGGATTACATCATACCTTTTCAAATAATTTATAAAGAGTATGTCATAATAATTTAGCCAAACATATCCTCTGAACTTATACCGATTACAACTGATATGTAATTTGTTTACTATACTTAGGATTGAAGATAATAGAGAAAAACACGAGTACAATTTACAATTAAATTTAAACGTTTTTTTTATATAGGAATCCTTTAATCTCATTAATCAGCCTATGAAACGAATACCGACGTTGGTTTGTGAACTCAGTTTTCGCACATATACGCTCATAAGGTCCGGTGTGCGTACCGACGTTATGAAATAATATAATTAGGTTTTAGAGTATTGGTTGATCTCGTTAAAACTATAGTCTCTCAGGCTTTAAATTATAGTACTTAATCACAGTACACTATTTCGGAACTATGTTCGTAATAAAATATCGGTACAGAATAAAACTTTTTTCATTCTTGCAATATTCTAACAGCCATTACACGACCATGGTCTATACTTTTTCTTCTGGTGTTTGTAAAGGCACACTGGCTTCTTCCATTTTTTTCGTTAAGTCTAGCGCTTTATGTCGTTTTGTTCTTTCCTTGTGGAAGAAGAGTCGGAGGTAATGACAGGGGAAGATGACGCATTCGCCAGCCGGTTCTTCTGCGTCAATATAAACTCCTCTTACAAGAATTGAATTTGAACAATTTAAGAGAATCAGCAACGCCAGACTTACGATGTGGCAAGACCAGTTGCTTAAGTGAGGCGAATCTGAAATGATAAAACTCGTTAAAATAGGAATCTAGAAGATATCCTTATAAAAATGTGTTACTGTTTACACGATGCATGGCTAAGCTTTAAAGATTATACAAACAAAAGGAAATATTACATTTAAATTTTTCAAAAAATTAAGTTTTAATACTCCTCTTAGTGCGTATTAATAAATAATATAAGAAAATTCAAAAATCAAAATACTATTTTAAATAACAATGTTACTATTACTGTTTTTACACTGCGTTATAATCTATATTGTATAAACGAACCTGGCAAAAAATAAATGTCCAGCAATCCCCAAACCCCTCGCCATACATTAACCGTGGAAGCGAATGAAAGTAAGTGGTAAACATCAGCGATCAACAGCCTTGGGGCTCCCTGAAGTCTTGCGACAGCCCACCGCATGGGCGCCTGCAGCGAAAATGTCACAACTACCATAGAGTAACCTACTATCTGTGGACAACAAAATAATATAATTCGCTATAAAGAATATATTTATAAACAGGAAATGACACATGTTTCTCACATAATCATAAAATTGATATTACATACTAGCATAATCTAGAATTCACTAGAAGACATGTTTGCATTGTATTGATCTTATCATATATTGGCATAACTGTGAGAACAGTGCTCTAAATAAAATATTTTTATCAAAGGTTTTACTAACTTTATATTAGTTTTAATTGTTAGTAAATATTATAATGTTATATTTTTTTATTATCTTTATTATAGCTTAGGCTTGCAGTGAGATTCCGAGAAGAAACATTTGCTTTTATCTAAAAACAGTGCAAGATATTCAATGTTTTTAATGAATCTATATATATTGAGAGAGTAACATAATATATGTATGGTACAAAGCGTAATATGTGAGTCAAGTTTTGTAAGGCCGCCAAAATATGACACAAAAACCGGACTAGAAAAAGCACATAAGGAAAATTCAGAAAACTCGACAACTGTACCGATTTTTTGAGAAATTTTCATCAGACTATATTTTTTTTCTTTTTTACGTTAGTTAACGTTAATTATTAGTTATTAAAATTTTAGTTATTAAATAATTTGGTTATTAGTTAATAACGAACAAATTTTATGCGATCGTCTTTTGTTTTCAAGACTGTTTCGCTACATAGATTCTTTTTTAGAAAGTGTGCTAAATATAGATGTATATACTTAGATCTACAGTATATTTATGCGTTTATAACACCTTAGCATAGCTTCATAATATAAATAAAAATCGACGTGCGAGATAAACAAAACAATAAAATGTTGGCGCCTGTAATAATACCTGAACAAACATAGTTATCTTTTCTTGAGTCGGATGAACCATAAGCCAAGTAATTAACTTAACACTTTAATTATTGTAATTGTTATACGTTTATTTGTTGTGCGATGGAAACACCCCGAACGGAGATATCTTATCATAGGGAAGTGCCCTAGTTCGTTACTAAATTTCCTTTGTGAATTTTCCACTAATTACGTAATTTTTTACGCTTAAACTGCATATTCATGACAGCGTAAGTGCAAAAAAAGATAAATGTGTACTTTAGATAAAAAGTGTGATCGAATATTTGGTTTTTGTGAAGGAAAGTGGAATATGGACATGAAATTTAGAATTGTGAAATTTAGTAATGATAAAAAAATTAATAGTTGTAAATAATGTTTCGGATATAACGTATGAAATAATAGGCTTTTTAACTTTATAAGGACGAAAGTATAGATTATTTAAAGTTTATATCAGTTAGGAAAGGGATTTACAGAGCAATTTTTGAAGTTATACTTCTTTAGGCGCGTTATGAAAAATTTATGAGAGTGAAATTTTACGATGCGCGCGCACCTATGACACAAAATTGGGAGTGTGATTATAGCGTGCGCGAGCGAGATAGGAATAAGACAATCTACAAGTAAAAAGAAATAGAATATGCGTGAAGTTCGTATGCCAAGAATTTTGAATGACCATAATGACATTTGTCATTTACCTTTTAAACAAATACCTAAAGGAGTTTTGATTATTTTTTCAAAGAAATTTATTAATTTTATATTGTGCAATACTGCCAAAGCAACAACATACTTCTTAGTGTTTGGTAGAGATGTTCTAAATATATAATAATATATAATTTTAACTAAATATAATTTATGTTACACTTAATGTAAGAGAATAATAATAAATAATTACATATTTAATTTTTCAAATGAAAACTGAACTTAATTGACTATAATGACTCCTTTTCCAGTCTTTGATTATTTAATTGTAATTAATTATTTGCATGCAATCAAAAACTATTTTTAATAATGCCAAAGAAGTATAACTTCTTACGCGCGTACATAAGTACACGCACCCTTTTTTCTACTAGCTGGTGCCCTCGACTTCGTCTGCGCAGGATAAAAATAATATTTGTCCAAATGATGTAGCGTGAAAGACATATTTTATCTACTTTAAATACCAGAAGCGATAAAAGTATATATTTTCATTAAGGAATTAATTTATTACTACCAAATGTGCATTGATCTACAAATTAAACAAATTATCAATTTTTATTGTAGTAATGGTTCACTATTTTAGCTATAATGGATTACATATAAAACATAGATATATTCCATCATACAATACATATGTGTAACTCTAGAAGTTGTGGAAGCACAGGCCAGAATAGATGGTTGATTTCTTCCTACTTACTTGATATTTTCGACAATTCACACAATATCTTTATAAATTGTAGCCTATGTGTTATTCTGATGTATAAGCTATATTATTGTAAAGTTTCATTAAAATCCATTCAGTCGTTTTTACGTGAAAGAGTAACAAACATCCATCCATACTTACAAACTTTCGCGTTTATAATATTAGTAGGATGTTATTTCCTAATACAATTTATACTTAAGGCCATTATTTAGTTTTACTCTTAGACAAATATACTTGATTTTCTGTTGTATCGTTTTTGTGTCGTTGATAAAGGTTGTGGAGTCACACACATCTATTAATATAAGATGCTTATTAAAGGTCCCGGAGCAAAAATAGAAGAATTATCCAATTGTGTACACGGAAATGAGTAAATAAGGTAATATGAGCGGTTGTAGCTGGTTTCCAGTACAAAGATATTTCTACCCACGTGGCATTCAATGTCACTGCTGAGGACTTCTGTCATTGCCAATTCACAGTTTGCTGCAATTTTACCATTTAACCTGAAGTTCCGTTCGAGTTCCGACTAAAGAATAATTTCAAATTGCAATTTCCATATATAATGTCTGAGTCAAGATTAATCCTATGCTCAATTTTGCACTTATTTATTAACTATTTGAAGTAATATCAACTCTGTAATTAAAAAAAATCGAGACGTTACTTTGCGATGTCTACCGTACGTCTAAAACGTTTTGAGACATAGTTCGCATAAATCTTGACTTAAACCTTATCCTTATATGTATAATGTTTGGGGATACAATAAATATATATATTTGATTTATATCTACTGTTTGACATATACTAGCCATCGCGCCTATTATCAAGGCAACATGTTTTCACACAAACTCACTCCCTAAAAAATAATTTGATATATTTTTTTAATAAGTTTAGTATGTTCTTATTGTTATAACTTTAGTGATCGTAATTTTAATAATATGAATTATTTAGATCCTAACAAGTGTAATATCAGTTCTTATGGGAAAGTAATATATAGCAAGGGTTTTTTTTTATATTCATTGATATATTAATAAGATAATGGAGTGTAAAATATAAAAGGCCCTACTGGAAGGATATATATAGAACGACAAAAGAAAAGATGGACAGATGACGTACTAAAACTAGCAGGGGAAAACTGGATGAATATTGCTTAAGAGAAATGAAAAAAATATGGAGGAGGCTTTTACCCCAAGAGTCACACAAATACAAATACTAGAACACTAACTTTAATAATAATAAGATTATTTTGATATATTTGTCTTGGTAACGGAGGAAGGTAACGTCTCATAACATAGGCAGTTCTTAATAGTATAATTTATTGACCTTTCGAATAAACAATATCTAATTTGATACTAGTGTATTTATAATTCTTATTATAAAAAATCTAAATTAGAATCGTTATGTGTCACAGCAGAAAGTGATAGCGACAGAGAGATACTTGGCTCTACGCAATGTTCATGATGGAGATTGATATTTTGTTTGTTATAATTAGACCATTTAAATCCGAAGTTGGTTAAAGCAGTACGTAATAGAGCGAGGGCAAGGAGAGGAAACGCCAATTGCGATCTAAGTGGTCACTGACTCAATGGCGAGCATCTGACCCATATGCGGAAAAATAGATCTTTGAAGACTTAGGAAAATTGGTAACCTAAGTTATATTGAAAATAAGATTTGTTCTTCTGAGCAGTGTAGGCCTAGAGGCTTCGAGTGCGACTCTCACCCCTGAGCCTATGGTAGGGGAGCCCACGATGCTAAATGGGGATTTACTCGAGCGTCGTAGAGACCTATTGGGATGCAAAGCTTAGATAATAAGAAGAAAAAAATGTTATATGATATATACCTTTTCATCGGTGGGGGAAGCGGCTATAGATTATTAAATATGTAAAAAAAAAACTGTTGCATGGACATCCTCGAGCGCGTCAGATATTGATAGCATCAATGCCCTACGTATTTTTAATAATGTACATATGTTAATCTGATCGTTTGCATGATGCGGGTGGTTGTATTTAAGGGTTGAAAATGAAAAAAAAATAAAAATTATCGAGCGCGTCAGATTTTCTAAGGGAGTGTTAAGTGCACCAAAAAAAAGCTCTCATTCACTAATCTGACGATTTCGATGGGACGCAATCCCACGGCCATTTTCATAATTTGCAAAAAAAAATCGCAATTTTGAAATACTCAAGCGCGTCAGATTAAGATATATGTGGTTCATCTTTATGTTCTAAACGTACTGTCTCATAATAATCTGACGATTATCTAGAGGGATTCGCCTGATCTGACAAAAAAAATTTAGAAAAACGGTTCACCTAAAGGGCCATCCCTGCAACTTCCCGCTAATTCCATTCCTGGGCGCTTAAAATTGATATTTTGAGCTCGCTGAGTTCAAAGAAATAATATTTCTATGCATTTGAGCTCTCCCAGCTCGAAAGTCTGATAGAAGTTTCATAGAACACTATTTTTGGAATTTTCAAACCGCAATAACTTTTGAATGGATCAAGCAATTTTCACGCGGTTGGCGGCATTCGACGCAGTTTTATCATCCTCATAAGTAATTTTAATTGATCGAACCACAAATTTCGGAGTAATCCCGAAAAAACACTTTTTCGGGTTTCTTTCGTTCACGATATCTCTCGAACGAATCAACCGCTTTTGACCAGCTTGGTGGCGATCGACGTGGTTTTTCAAGCTCAAAGGCGGATTAGTTTTTGAAGTTGATCGATAAAGAAACCACTTAAAAAAAAAAAGGGTGCGTGTACTTATGTACGCGCGTAAGAAGTTATACTTCTTTGGCATTATTAAAAATAGTTTTTGATTGCATGCAAATAATTAATTACAATTAAATAATCAAAGACTGGAAAAGGAGTCATTATAGTCAATTAAGTTCAGTTTACATTTGAAAAATTAAATATGTAATTATTTATTATTATTCTCTTACATTAAGTGTAACATAAATTATATTTAGTTAAAATTATATATTATTATATATTTAGAACATCTCTACCAAACACTAAGAAGTATGTTGTTGCTTTGGCAGTATTGCACAATATAAAATTAATAAATTTCTTTGAAAAAATAATCAAAACTCCTTTAGGTATTTGTTTAAAAGGTAAATGACAAATGTCATTATGGTCATTCAAAATTCTTGGCATACGAACTTCACGCATATTCTATTTCTTTTTACTTGTAGATTGTCTTATTCCTATCTCGCTCGCGCACGCTATAATCACACTCCCAATTTTGTGTCATAGGTGCGCGCGCATCGTAAAATTTCACTCTCATAAATTTTTCATAACGCGCCTAAAGAAGTATAACTTCAAAAAATTCTTATTTTTTTAAGATTTTTCAAAATTTCTCAAAATCTATCGGTCCGAATCGGTTCAAATTCACAGGAAATGTAATTTTGAGGGAAATATTTAGAACGCCGTTTAGTAGATTCCGATCGGTTTAAGGAAATGTAGGCATCACGCAGCTGCACGCATTTAACTTTATCGACGAATTTTTGTTATTTTGGCTTGCGGAAATCGTCAGATTATATATTTTTCATTATTCTTGAATTATTTCCTTCAAAATAAAAAAAAAATTAGCTACGCTCGAGAATGTCGAGATGACGTTTTTTTTTACAACTTTGTTGCCCTCCCCTTTTTTTACGTCACTTTCAAATTGTCAGATTAGTGGAATATACACTTTTTAGGATGTAATTAACTCACCCTACCTTAATCTGACGCGCTCGGGAATTTCTGATGCTCAATTTTTTTTTTACTAATCTGATCCTGTCTCCTTCACGGGCGGCCTTATATATGGGCCTCATATTTTGTGGAGGTACTTAACCGGGTACAAGGTATCCCCCTATATATTAATCTGCCGCGCTTTAGTAAATCCCGAAATCCCCTCTTGGGCTCCCCTACCACTATCAGAAAAAACAAATGATCACGCAACAGATGACTGAGACACAGGCTTTAAAAGGCTGTAGCACCACTGGTTTTAGACATATTCTTAGCTGGTTCATACAGTTACTAGTTTCATAAAGAAAAAAGCTGTATCTGTATCTAATACGAGTTAACAAGGTTAAATTTGATCACATAATCTTCAAATTATTTGTAATCGTGTCCCGTGAGGAGTTTTTTTTATCAAATGACACCAAATTTCAAGAGATTAGGTTTATTTACGCTTAGCAAAATACCTTTTAACTTACTTTAAAAAATATCAGTTTAGCTTGTATGTATAATATTATGATATTATTTAAAATGGCTAATACTTAAATAAGATTATTTATTAGGCGTGCGACGTGTCATGTCAAGAAAATCATTTTTTAGGTATACTCTATCTTAGTGAATCGATAACATTTAACTAATATGGATAATTTCTGATGGACATTTTCTGATGGATCATGTATAATATTAAGAATTTCGATATTTCGCGAGCAAGCATTACACTAAACGAATGTCAACATATAATTTTTGTTGATAATAAATTGAATTATCCTTTTTAAAACACTACAAATTGCTGTAAAGTTCTGGGATGAAAGACAATATTAACGTTATAACAGTAATCAATTAATTATTTCAAAAAATAATTAGAATTTGGAATTGCGTATTAGCTTTGGTTTAACATGAGTAACAAGGTCAAATACAAATATTTCAACGAAATTCAATATAGAGCCATAGTAGTTAGTAGTTAGGGCGGGTCTTTAGTATTGCGAAAAATTTCCGCGTCTTTATTTATAATTGTATCGTATTGTAGTCAAATTGAGTATTGTGTAGCGAATTGACTCTAAGTGCGAAGCATGAGATTTTTATTGGAGTTCAGCTGTATATATTCTATAGAAATAAGAAGTAATATAATTGTTATAACGATATTTCCTGCGGGTAAACCACAACAAACATATACTATTATAATTCAAAAGTACATGACTACAAAAATTAGACTTTTACGTGGGGATAATATTTAGATAATATATTTAATTTGTTATCTTATCATAAAATCTGTTAAGAAAACCCCCGCTTCCACTATCCATAACGTACTACAAATCGACAAAATTTATTAAAAATAATATTTATATAGACTTTGAGTTTATTATAACGTAGATAACATTAAAATGGACAGGATTAAACAAAATCAATGCACGAACTTTTAAAAATATAAAAATGGGTTTCTTAATTTGAAACTAATGTGTAAGGTTTGGGAATATTATTAAGAAAAAAAAAATAACCTAACCTATTATAAACCTACTTATACAAATAGGTTATATAGGTTTTTTAAATCTTTTAGATACGCTTCGACATTAAAAAACACTATTTGCTCTATAAATGATTTCTGAACATAAAATTAATTTAACAGAAAATTTAAAAAAAACCTAAAAACTGACGTAACTTTATCAAATTTGTCAAGTATTACAATCAATGAACATTATTGCATCAGATTTTAATCTGAGCTTATACTTACAAGTGACGTCCAGCAAGATTTGGCAGGATCATCTGGATAGAGGTAAATGTCAATCAAAGCCCACAGCCCTCGCCACACGAACACCACAAGTGACCCGACCACAGTCACAGAAAATACACAGTCCAATATGTATAGAGCTGTTTCCTTACTACTCTGTAACAAAAAAAAAATAATATTATTTTTATTTTTAACTCCTTGAAGATTTATAAATTCTAAATCTATTTTATAATACATTCACCTTTGGATCTTAAACATATTACATACATATATAAGGTAAAATAAACCGAGTTAATCATAAACGAGTATATAAAATGGGGGAAGGCCTACACTGCATAACAATACTTAATTATAATTATATTAACTTTTTGAAGTGAAACTTCTTTATCGCCGTTGGAGAAAATTTTACTTTGTTTTCTTGTCCTGCGATTTCGGATCCAGTTTATTGATTAGTTGCAAGATTTGTTGTTTGTGAAGTTTGCCTACCTCTGAAAACGTTATATTTAATTAATATTGCAGTATTATGTTTAGGTATAAATAGAAATTATGCTTTTAAATCATTATTATTTATGTCAAAACCCGTGTAGTGCGTTCATAAAATGTATAAAATTTATATTAAAAACAAATATATATAAAACCGATAACAATGATAGTAATAATTATATTACAATTAATGAAATTCTGTAATAATCTTAGTAGTAATAAGGTAGAATGAAATAATTGTATTATTTGTATTCTATTCTATCTATGTCTATGATAATAAAAGCCTTTTTTTTAACTTTATCTAAGTTAACTTTATTTAACCAATTTCTGTAAAGTTGCATATAGTAGATCATTTTTCGTAAAATAAGGTCATAAAGAAGTTTCACTTCTTACGTGTGTACTAGTACACGCATATTTTTTTTTTGTAAAAATGTATATATCGATTGATACAATAAAAGGTTATGATTATTATTGCAAAAATAAATAAATTATTTAATTTATTTATTTTCTATTCTCTTATTATTATCATATTTATGATTAAATACTGCCATATAATGACTCTGTTAAACTAAGCATAACGCTGAAACACGACTTTTATTAAAGATAGATTATCTTAGGCAGTAACTGTTTCAAAATAATGCGGTTTATCGTATCATATAAGATTTAATATGAGATAAGGATTATTTCCTGTTACAGTCGAGTACCAGATAATAAGTTACCTGAATACCGAATACGGTACTCATAATAATGAGCAATAAATCTTAAGTGTTTATTTTCGGATTATTTAATACAATATTATCGGCTAAATTTGTTCTATCTCTAACTCTCTTTAAATCTTTAAGCCCAATAAGCAAAAAGTAACTTATATTTCTATAAAAGTATTCGTAATATTCAGAATTGAAAGAAGTCGTTATTTTTCTTTTTTATATTCCTGCTTATGTGCATATGGTAATAAAATCCCAGTGAGAAGAAAACATATCTATTACAACGACTAGTTTAAAACAATACATAATAACTTACTAAACAACGTGCACGATGATTTTTTAAATTATTTATTTTATTGAAGGTAATATGTTAATTAAAATATGATCTTTGCAAGACTTTAATACATTCAAAGAAACATAATATCTGCATTCATATAACCTCGTTACATAATAAATTAAACCTAATAAGTCATGGTTCGTAACGTTAGCCTAACTATATTTAATTTGCATAAGCGAGGAACGACATTGCCAAAAGAGCTTGTAGTTTTGCAACTATTGATTAAAAAGCTTTTTGTTTTATTATCTAAGTGATGATGATTTTAGATATGTTATAATAAATGTAATGTTAGAAAGAATTTAAAATCATGCAACCATTTCAGATTTTTATTTGATCCTCAGTGACCAATATATAACTGTGATTTGAAAAAGAAGAAATGCCTGTTCGCTGTTTAATAAAAATTACTGATGTACTACCAAATGGTATTCTAATAACAATGACGAATTTTCGAAAAACAAGAGACGGTGGTCGGCTCCGTAGTAATAGTAAGTAGCTCCTTGTACTATGAAACGATGAATGCTCCTATAATGTGAAAATTATAATTTTATGCTTTGTACAAAATAAAATATATTTGAAAGAAGGAAAAGTCAGTCGCTCAAAACAAGCCCGAGCAATTCTATGAACAATGAAAACATTCCACGTTTATTTCACGTGCTTCAACGCGATACGTAATTATAATTTATATTATTTACTTAAGCTGATTTCATTGTTATTAGTCGTATTGTTGATAGTAGACGAATCTAGTAATGAGTTGATTATTCTTCTACTCAAGGTACATTAATGTAAGCAATGGACATAGCAAATATCACAAAAAGGCAGTCTTTTGGTATTCGAGAGTCTGTACCCTTTTTATCAGTATTTTTTAAATCATCTAAAATCTTAAAACAAATTGTTTACACAATCACTTCCGATAAACGCCATAATTGCTCTATAACTTGTCGCTTATTACTTTTATTTCATAACCCTTTTATATGGATTATATCCATATCATTTCTTTATAGATTATATCAATTACTGATTTATTATATTACGTAATAACAACTTAAGTATTATAAATAAAGTAGTTCAAACTACTTAGCCACTAGTCCTAATCATGGCACAAATATCTCACAATCTGGTGCAAAGTTAATAAAATAGTTGATTTGCGCTATCATTCGCGGAATAGAATGTTGCTGACGGGTGAATTAGCGAACGCATCAATCATAAAAGCTCTCTAAACAAGAAATACTTGTTGGGGCATATGCATATGCTGTTCCCATTATAGACCTTAAATTTTAATTTAAATAATGAATAACGTAATACAACTTGCTTGATATTATAAAGTGTAGAGATATTTTTATTGTTATACATTAAAGGCATCTAATATAGAGGCGATAATGGAGGAAAGGGTATAAATATGGATAAAAATGATCAGCGTAGAGAATTACCATTTTCTCAAAAAACGGAAGGTTTATTTCATCATCACTCTAGGATGTTTGACTGTATGTTGGCTATTAAATGACACCAACCAGTTAAATATATGTAATAAGGCTAACGAGGCGGATTTGTTCTTTAATTTTCAGATAATCTTACAATCACAGTAAACCGGATCAATTTATTTGAACAATAATTGATTCCATAAAAGTAAAGAGTACTATTATTCAGGTTTTAAACAGTTCGTCATCTGGCTTTGGCAAGTATGTTAGACAATGTTGTAATGGAAGTGCTTTTAAATTTGCTATTTCTTTTTTCAAAACCCTTTCAAGTGGCGTGGAAAATTTCTTCATGTAAAGTAGTTATTAATTTTCATGTTTCAAAAATTTCGTGGTTTATACCTAATTTTCTTTTCTTTGTAAAATAAGAATAATGCATACCATTTTATCGAATTTTAACTAAACAAATAACTTACCGCAAAAAATCATTATTTAAAAATTTAGGTACTCATATACTAATATTGTATTTCTATAAAAAAAAGGATAGCATATGTGCTACGCGTCACGGCTGGCGCTACGAATATGCTACGGAGCGTGCCATTTCATTTGCATGTATTCATCACGCATTATGCTGGTTATTTAAATTCTATGAAAAATTGTGTTTCATACCGTTCTGTAAAATGTTGGTGCATCAAAGTAACCCTCTTCTGCATCTATTGAAACACTGTACGGAGCTGACTCCAAATTTCGTAACCCTTTCAGACATATAAGGGCTATTGTTGAAACAATAGTTGTAATTGCCGTAGAAAACGCATCCTCTTCGTAAATGTCCATAAAACTCCAGACACCTCTACAAGCCGCTACGTTGATTAATCCACCGACATAATTGTACAATCTAGTCACAATAAAGAACTTAACACTTCCAATTTCAGGTGTTAATTCTTTGCAACAGTATTCTTGGAAAACGCACAGTAGCAGTCCAAAAATGAGTCCTATCGATGTTGTCACCAGCGCACTTAACAGTGGATCGTCGGGGTAGATGTACATATCTAACAAATTCCATGTCGCCAGCCAATAGATGATGATCAAGGGCCCGGCAATCAAAGTTGTAAAAAGAATATCTATGTATTCTATTAAGCCGGAGTAATGCTCAGGATTGAGCGCGGAGTTAATAAGTAGAATGCTGTCACGCATATCGCTCGTACGACTGAACGTTTTCAGTTTATCATATCTCCTTATCCGATTATTTAACGATGATTTCCTCAGATAATCGATGTATCGAGTAGTTGAACATCAAAGTGCGGCGGTCGGGTCGTCTCCACATACCGTTATATTTAAAACTGATTTTCACTTTTAACTGTTGCGCAGTTGCTTAAATATAGAAAAAAATGTTTGCAAAGAAAGCCTTGCTTACTGCAGGGATTACGTTACCACGTCACAGTACCTACACGATGAGTCGTACCGCGATGTTTGCTTCAGAGCTAAGTATCGTCCATCGAGTTACAAAAAGGATTAACAAGAATAATAACACTTATTAGGAAATGTAAATTCAAAAACACGGACAGTTAAATTTTTAAAAATAAAAGTAAAAAGAATCGTAACTGACTGTTAATAAAGAACTCGTATGACATTGAAGGTCCCATTTTATACAAACTAACTAAAGTATTGCAACTAAACTCGACTACTCAATTGTATGCGAAATACGCTTAACACTCACGTTTAACCGTTTAGATAGAATATAGTATTATAATATATTTGTAACGCCAAAGTAACTGATTTATTTAACAACCGTTAGCGTACAAAATTTACATATTGTCTACTTTAAAACTAAAATTTAGATATTGATTGTCCTTTGATAAGAAATAAATCGGAATTTAAACTTAGGGATTTATCTCAAGCAACCACGTCCGTTCACTTTTACCACAATACTACAATGATCAATCGATTGTCATGTCAAGACGAAAATAACTTAGTTATCAATAATGACGTTTCATATATACCTATCTATTATTTGGTATAGGAAAGTCACCGTCTGCTTGCTTAGTTTATGAGGTTTATGGCGTGAACTCGGGTTCAATTTCTAACAAAAATTTTTTTTACTGTGGTAGAAACAGTGAATCAGACGCATAAATGTGCCTCCTCCATGTCCGATTAAAGACCTAACCGACCTGTTTGTAGATAATAATTTTTAGCGATTCTGATGGTTGACTCAATGTAATTTCCTTAATGGTCGTTGGTTTGACGCTGGAGAAAATCATGGGTCAAATTTATAGACGCTGAAATATGTCTCTCAAATTCCGTAGGATTATTGAAAAACATTTAGAAATTGCCATAATTTGGGATTTGAGACTATGTGGAGGAGATATTATAGTGCACGCATGTATGCTACCGAAGTATCACGAGAGCAGGCACTATATACAAATGCAGCAGTACGAGGATATGACAAACTTCCAAACTTTGCTTTAGAAAAAATGAAATAACGTTTTTGTAATCCCTATCGGGAATCGAACCCAAAACCTGCTGATTTACAGATAAACATACACGTCATTAGAGTTAAGACAATACAAACAGTGTTAGTAATAGTTAAAGTAAATAAGCCCATTTTCCATACATAGATTAGTGATATTTTAGTTTTAATTTAGTTCCTAGTTAATTTTTTAAACAAAAGCTGTTTAAACTGATATAAATATATATCAGTTTATAAAACACAAACAAAAGCGCTACAGAATCAATATTTTCTTATTAGTTCAATCATTTTTTTGGTTTCATAAATTATATGTACAATGTAATATATTGTATGGTAAGTTATTAAATATTCAAACAATATTATGGTTAATTTATGATCGTCGAGCTTCAACTTGACTGATTGAATAGTCATAGTAACTTGTACTAAGATGTACTTAAGATGTTAATCACGACCTTCAAGTCAACATCATCATCATCAATCTCACTTGAGTCGGAGACTGCATAAACTTGTACTTATGTACCCGCGTTAGAAGTTATACTTCTTTGGCGTAACAAGATAAAAATCTTTAAAAAAAAATATCTTTCGCCATATTCTACGTGTGTAGAAAAAACGACACTAACAATAGAAAAAAGGTATTTAATACATTGAAAGTTTTATTATAACGCATTATCTAGTTAAATAAAGTTTATTTAAATGTCACAAAAAAAATATTTCTACATTATTAAAGAAATGGACATTTTTTGTTTTAAAATGTTGACTATGCTAACTTCAAGGTGTCGGTTTTTTTGTGACGGTATGCACGTGCATCATAAAAATTTACTCTCATAATTTTTCCCTAACGCGCCAGTATAACTTCAAAAATACTTCTTCTCTACAGATAAACCGTAGGATTTTTTATTCTTTATATTACTTAATCTATTGGAAGCGGGTTTGCTCATAATCTATTAGTCCAATGTACATAAAAATATTACCATAAATAAAGAGAAGGTAGTACTTATTTCGATCTGGTATTTATATAAATTGTGCCTAATTTTATATTTAACAATTTCAATGTGAGCTCTAGCGGCCGTAATCACTATTCTATACTCAAAAAGACCTAAAGTCAACGGCTTTATATAGTCTCTAGCACATCAAGCAAATTCTGGTAAGTTATAAGCATAGTCAATTACATATTTTACCTTTTTTTAAATAAATTTATTGATTATTATTTTATGTTGTTTTAAACGATATTCATTTTTCTTACATCCTCTTTGACGATATTTTCAGCGCGCATTCTGTCAATGTTATGTCAAACGCCATAAGGTTACATCAAAAAAGTTTAAGAATAAGTATTCTTAAATGTTCTTATTTTCCGCGCAATTTTCTTATTTTTTCTTTGATAAGAACCTTATTCTGACAATAACGAACACAAAAAAATAATTAGCGAAATCGGTCCAGCCGTTCACGCGTGATGCCGTGACCAAGGGACTATTTTCCTTCTACTAGTTATTTTTTTTATATATAGATAATGTTTCTTCTATGCGTGACGAGCTTTCGTAGATTTTTGGAGTCTAGTCTCCAAGAGGTGTTCCTCTTCACCGTCTGAATTGACAACTAGGTTAATTGGGCATTTATAAAACATCTAGGTAATAAAATTGTACAGAATCGTGCACATCACAATATATCAAGAATATAAAATGAATGAAATCGGTGCCTTTGATTGTAATTGGTTAAAGGGGAAGACGGATTGTGTCGCGTGTCTATGTTTGGACTGAAGCTATTGACCAATCACACGAAACGCGCCAACGTTATCACTTCACATTCTCACTCCTAGGATTTCTAATTAAACAAAAACCATGAAAATGGCATCATTACTGTAACTAATCTTTATATAGCAAAACAACGATTGCAGAGTCTAGCTTTTCTTTTTGAAGATTACACTTTTTTAATTTAGTAGTAGCGGGTTCTAATACTATAATTAAAAAATAAAAATATAAATCATATTATTTTATTAATAATTTACGATATCTTTTTCCAATTTGTTTCCAACTATCAATAGTTGTGCAGTATAACGATTAAAAGTAGCAAGATTTTATATAACTTTAGCAAGAATTAAATAACAAGCTGTACCCTGCAACGCTTCGCCGTGGCACATTTATATGATTGTAGAGTAATCAGAATCAGATGCAATTTTTTTTGTAAATAAACAATGTAATTGGGAACGAATATTGTTTCTCATGTGACTGCGCCATTACTATTGCGGTTGTCAGCGAGTGTTTTCCTCGCTTCCGGCAGATGGCGCGGTAACTGGTACAAGCTGATCTTTAAAATAACTGTTTTTTCGCGGTTGTGACTGATGCAAAAAATAGATAAAACAATCCTACTTCCCTCCTATTTTAATAAACTCTTAAAAATGTGCAGGAAGTTAGCTATCGACTAGAAGTTATTTATTGTGTATATTCAATGTTGGTATCGTTAATATATATATATATATAACTACATGAATATAAAGTCTCCAATAGAATCATTTACTGAGCAAATAACGCACTCTGTTAGAGAATCCTTATCGTAAAATACTTCTTAAGTATCATCTAAAACGTGATTATGAATATATGATTAAGAAGCCACAATTTTCTAATGATGTGCGCAAATTAAAATATGTTTTTCATTTTAATTGAGCAAATAATACGCGAATTTAAATCTTTTCTACAACTGGGTAATAATAATAAATGTGTGTAATAATAAAAGCTTGTATTATTAATTAATAGTCTCGTCTGTAATTCATTATTCAATTAAATAATTTAACCAATTTATAAACTTTTTATTCCCTGAAGGTTTATTACCTTGTATACCTTTATGTTTATTTATATGATTTTTTATATAGAACACGGGGCAAGCAGACAGAAGGCTCATCTGGTGTTAAGTGATACCACCGCCCATGGACACTCTCAATGCCAGAGGTCTCGCGAGTGCGAAAACGAGCATCAATTAGGACGGATCAATGACTTTATACGTGAGGTGACTTTTATTGGAAGGTTTACCATAACAATCACTTATATACCAACCGTTCTAAACATAGTAGGAACATCGAAAAAAGCCTTAGGCGCATCAACAACAACAGCGAACGGGGCAGCTATTATATTCCTCAGAGTCCGTAACGCTGCTAGAGATAACGTCGCTGCTGCTGTGGTGGACATGACAGTCTGTGCACTATCTCCCGTGCATTCGTTGAGGAGGTTCCATACTCCTCGCCACGCGCCAACACACCCCACTGCAGCCACACAAGTATATAGCCTCGAGAGCACATAATAAGTAAATCTACCCTTATCAGGGCGAATATGCTTGCTCAACTGCGTTTGGAATACGCACAAAATGAAGTTCAAGGCCAAACCAAACACGAGGGATACTATCGCGCTGTTAACTGGTTCTTTAGGCAGGACGTAGAGGTCCATCAGCGACCAGGTCGACTTCCAGTAAGTCACAACCGCCGGGGCTACTACAGCACTTCCGAACACCTCATCTGCGAATTCTAGAAGCGCGCTATGGGCCCGCGAGCCAGTCGCGAGCGTGTCGGCTAACCCGGCCGTACTCCCACGCATCTTTGGTTACGAGTGCACACAACCACGGGTCCCGAACGACTACAGATCATTTATGTACAACGGTATCGGCCCTTGTGTGACGTATTGTTGAGATCACTCCCACCCACAACTCTTTTCTTCTTTTTAGTGATAACGGGTGATAAAGCAGCTTAATTTTACTCCCCGAGTATTTGATGATAAGCTTGAGATTGTTGGTTCTAACCGGCTTTTATAACATAGCCTGACTTGCCGTCGGAGCTTGCTTGTAGATATAACAGGTGTTTGGCGAAGATAGATATTTTGTGGTCAAGTTTGTATACTTACATGAGACTGGAGAAATAGTTTTCGTTCTACAGTTATTTGTCTCTAATAAATATATACCAGGACTTTTGTACAATTAGGTTATTTTGTGTAGTCAGTTGATAGGTTATATAAGGTGATCGAAAAACGCAAACATGCGGTAATACACTCATTCTTAAATTTTAATAAAAACCGAACGAGACCAATCACGATTGAATAAATTTTAATGTTGATTGTTATAGTATGTACAAAACATAATTATTGCCCTAGATTACCTTTTACGGAATTTTGTCGAAAGATAATATTTTTATTATCACTTAATACTCATGTTAACGTTGTAAACATAAAAAATATATTCGTAACGTAATTTAGCTCTGAATAAGTAGTAAAATGATATAAAAGAAATAAAATAATAGTTTTCAGGGAAAAGACTAAAACTATGTAATTTTTGTTCGTCAGATTATGTTAAACTGAAATATTACATGAATACCTTCTGAAATCTTGTAGTAAATATGTAAGTTGGATGTTTTCCATCGGTGACTACGATGTAAGGAGGCGCTAGGAGGTTGCGTGTGGAGCGAAGAACTAAGATTAACACCACGCCTACTATCAAATACGTCGCTATCAACACTGGTCTGTGGAATAAAAAATCCTTGTTAACACAAACTTCTTTAAAAAAAACCTTTTCTCATAATAATATTCGGAGTTAGTATGTTATTGTTTTTGAAATGCAAAAAGTGTATGATTTCCCGTTACGAAAAACGGTAAAAAAATATATAATATATATACACATAGTAGAATTGTTTAGTTGACCTTTTTAATTTTTTTAAAATTAATGGAAAAATATAAAAAGCATCGACTTTATACGCACTCGCATAGGATTGAGATGTGTGAGAAAATCGCAGTACAGCTTTTACGTAGTATTTTTAGTAGACAAAACTTTCTTTGATGCTATTATTTGGTGTCCTATTTAAAAATATAAACTTGGTACAGGATACATATTTCTTGGCTATATTGAGGAATACCTTACGATTTTTTTTAATTTTTTAGGATTAAAACTTTAAATTTAAATTAAACACTCCAAACAATGACTATTGTTAATATTTTTTAATCTGCATGATCTATTACATAAGGTCAAGACGTAATGGTCATGTTTTGTGGTTGTTAGAATAAAGAATACAAATTCTCGTTACATAACTTTTTAATGAAGATTATGTGGTAATTTTATAAGATAAATAACGAGTGCTACGAGTTATCACAATTATGCTACGGAACGAGTAACTTTGCTACGGTGGGGTTACGGATATGGGATAGTATTTATACACGACAAAGCTTTGTGTCATTACGATACCACTCTACGAGAAATACTTAACTTATTTATTAAGTGTAACTGTAAAGTACGACACAAGAAAATAAGAATATAAAATGTCTCATGGAATATTTGGACTATTATAATAAAGGCAAAAGGTGTCATGTTTCTATATAATGAGTTAATTAAGACTAAAACTAATGACACGATTATAAAATTAATTTAAATTTCAGATAGCTCAGTATCAGCTAGGACATTTTGTTTACTAAATTTACGCATGATTAAAATTTAATAAAATTTTAAGATGTCAAATAAATCGAGGACTGAATGCTTACAACGAAAATACCGTCTGAGATGATGTGCAAAGCTACGCGAAGGTCGGTTTAACGTGCCTCACGTATTCAATGTGTTCAATGACAAATCCCGAAAAAAACTATAGCTATTACTCGTTTTTCATTCACACAAGATTAACTATTTAATATTATAAATCAACAACTATGATTATAAACAATTAAGTATTAAAAGGGGCAAGCATTTGTCGGTCCACCATCCGGGAGTACTGGTTGTTAGTGTTTTTATTTATTTATTTACACTTCGTTGCAAAAAAAAAACACAATACATAAAAATTATAAGGGATGCAACGGGCGGCCTTATCGCTAATAAGCGATCTCTTCCAGGCAACCCTAGTTAGAGAGAAAAACATTAAAAAAAATGAAACATGATGCGTGCGAGAAGTGCAGAAATAAATGTTATATAAAAAAAATATATATAGAATTAATCTAAAGTAATACAAAAAAAAATATTAATATTAATAACAACCTAAATCTTAAAAGCTAGTGTTGAATGTGTTACAAATTAAACTAAATTACAGACAAAACCGATGACCCCAGAGTTGGTGCTTTCTTCCTTCAACGTAAAAACAGTCAGCAAATCTGCCAGCATTAAGAGTACTGAGTCACAGGGCACAAACTTTTTAAATTTAGTTGTGTGTTTTATTCTTTATTGTTATTATTATGTGTAGCTTAGAGTTATTGATTAGTGTATATATGTTTGTATGTGTATATAGTTTTCTTATAAATAAATATGCCAACCCAATTATATAATAGAGTTTTTACCTATGAGGATCCCGATTATTGGGCAAAATAGCAGCTACCATAGTATCCATAAGGCCCCAACCACCTATCCAGTGCATAACGTTGGACATAATGAATATGTATGTATAAAAGCGTGATAGTACTCGTTCTCTAAGCCACCGGCCTGCTTTTCCTTCACCCCATGCGTCAACAGATCGGGAAAATAGGCGAGTTCTGAAATATCAAATATGCGATTTAATCGTTTAGGTAAATTTAAATGTCACTCATTATGTATTTCATTCATTTGAAATAACTTTAAATATATAAATTGGATTTGTTACGTCTTGACAATTAATGAGATGCTGATAACTGTCAAGCTGCGTTGGCCTTTTTTATGTTTTCTGATTTAATTGTATGTAACATGGACATTCATTCCATTTTAAAACATGTTTTATACCGTCAGTAACTGAAAAATTCGTTGAAGAAATGTCATTTACTTTAAATGTCACAATTTAAAGAAATACGAAAGGTTTAACTTCTGAATCGTCTATGTTATATTATTTTACATGCGTCTAATATTACAACGAAATAAAAAGTTAATTCTTACTTTGCAATAGAAAAACAGCAGTGTATTAGAATTCCAAGAACGAAGTTTTGAGCGTACGGAAACATCTTGGCGTGCAGTTCCATGATGCCCCATGAACTACGCCATACTGCTACAACTAAAGGGGCGACCACAACACTTGCGAACACTGCATCACCTTTAAAGAAATTTTATGTGTTACATACATTACGAAATATAAAAACAAAAATAATATATTTATGTATAGTTTTATTGCCTATTTAAAGAAAAACGCTTTTTACCGGATTAAAGTTATGTTTATAATTATAAATTTACAACTATTTGACATAATTTTAAATTTATCCGACGTTTCGCGTGCTTTACAGCGTGAGTGGTCACGGTGACTGAAGACAAAAGATGTTGAATGTCAAAAAGTATCACAGCTGCAGAGAAAGTTGCATTATCTGTATTTATTTCCCCGGAGTTGGTATCGACTAAAAGATGGAGGGTTGGGTGGTTGGTGGGTAAAAAGCGTTTTTCTTTAAATGTGTAAAGGTTATGTTAATCAAAGACAATACTTTATTGCCTATTGTTAATATATTGTTTATTGATTTTGTTTTAATTTTGTTTAGACGTAGAATAATTAAATATGGTCGATACATCCAGTGGGTCACAGCCCTTTGTAGGTTAGGTAGGTTCCACGATCTGAGTGAGTGATGAAGAGAGTTCATTTTCTATAATACTAAGGAACAATGGAATTCGCAGATTAAGTCTAGTAATTTGTTGTCTTCCTACTTAATAACAATAAAATAATTCAAAAGATTATCAGGATTTGTTTGTTTGACGTCAGTATAATAACTATATTTGCTAAGGCATAGATAGTCGGAGTTTATTATAGTAAAGAATAAAGATAAAGCATTCTGATTCTAAAAAATTATATTACTTTTGTAAATAATGTATATATTAAATATTTAAATGTATAACACAAAAATTACTATACGTTAGTATAAGGAAGTTAGTATAATGAATGAACGAAGCCTTTTAATAAACGAAGGACATAATATTATTTACCTTTTCATTTTTTATTCGTGTAATGTATTTTTTGCTTGTAATATATTTTGTGTGACATTTGTGGTTTATTTTATTAAATTTACCGCAATATTTCGCCATTAATTTTCACATTCTCATAAATTAAATGTGCAACTTCAAAAACTGACAAACAATTTGGTAATAAGTTTGAATAACTTAATCTGTATTTCACTAATGCCCTTTACTGATTGACCTAGTGTCTGATACGAAAGTATGCTTTCCATATCTTATTAAAAACCTACTTACTAATAACATTACATATATACTAAATAATTGTAGCGAATCATCTAGAATCCGCTACTCGTCGCGAATCGTCGCGTCATTACGTCATGGCTAAAATATCGGACACAATGCATCAGTGAAAGTGATTATTTAAGTTTAAAATCTGTATAAATAATGCCTATTATTATCATCATTATGTATTCATGAAAATGAAAAAGAGAACGTCTGCGTTTACTTTGAGACTGATCAACTACTTGACTATAAAAAAATTATCACGAAACAGATAAAGAAGTCTAAGGCTTTTTTAAGACTCGACTAACAGACAGTTGCAACAGTGACCTATGTCACACGTATGAGAGCTATCTATTTAAGCCCTCGAGAGTGACTGACCTTCGTTGTAAGGCTTTAACTATAAAATAAGAAGACAAAATACATGTTTTTATAGACTACACAGACCATGACTCAATATTAAAATCCAATGTAGGTACATGAATATCATCATGATTTCAGAGAAAGTAAAAGTTATTACGTGGTATTGTAAGTTTTTAAAATATTGTTTTGGGTATGGTATGGTATGGCGCTACCTGCTCATAAACTCGAAACAGCTAACGGGTCTTGACGTTATACAGGTTATTAAGATACGTAATAAATAGTACTTATCCATTATAATGCCGTAAACGTTAATCGGCTTGGAAAATATTAAAAGAGATTTGAGGCATTTATCGGAAAAAAGCCTAATAAAAGATGGAGAAACAAATTAGTACCTTATAATTGATTATGGGTAAATTGGTATATACCTGCTCCAAATCCCAATTCCTGGCAATCACATTCTGTATCGTCATTGTCCTCTTCAATGTGTTCCGACTTCTCGGTCTTCTCGATAGTAACAGGTCTTTCAACTTTAATAAGCGGCTCGTTCGGCAATAGATTATCTGCGCCATTCGGTGGCATCTAAAAGTGTTTAAAAAAATATACTATTTATAAGCCACTGCTACTTTTTAGTCAACCTAATATCCTTTAATTGAAAAAAATACGCCTATTATAAATATTGACTGTTTGACAATTTTAAGGCATGGCTAAACATTTTTTACCAGGCGTTTTCGTGTTATAAATAGTTAAAAATTTAAGGCTACTTTTTCTATAAATTCTTATACGATGCAGGCACCAGAGTTGTTTACTTAATTAGTATAATTGTCTTTCGATGCAACTATATTTTTTTGACATCTTATCATATTTTAATAAGTTGAGGGAGATAATGGCGGACTACCGGTGGCGGGTACTCACGGCGTGAAGATTGTGTCCCCACAAAAAAGGTAAATAAATAGTTTTTCTTCAAAATATTCAGTTTAAAGAGCTTATTAGGCTATAATAACGGAGGTCCATCCATGTTTCGTGGTTGACGACTTAACATATTTTTCTTCAAAATTAAACCAAAAGAGTGTGTTTGTTATTTAACAGTGCTATTTGCTTAGAGAAACAGATTTTAATTACCAAAACTTTTAATCTGAGCAATAGGACTTGGTGTAAAGTGTATACGTGACTTGCGATAAATCTTGTATCTGGTCTAGTTACTTATCAATATTATATTATCTAGAGGATCTGTATTTTATATTCGCTCGATAAATCAGCGTTCTCGTCGTGGTGCACAAAACCTATACGACGCGAGATCAATACTGAACACAGAAGAAATAGCGGATGAAGATAATATAATACTGATGTCCACCATAAACCCCAATCTACCAAAACCCCTTAAGGTCTTTCGTATAGGAAAGTTTAAACCAGCCTTGCGATTCTGTAACTCACTTTACGAACTCGAGTTTCGAGTTTCGAGTTACAGAATCGTAAGGCAGGCTAAAGAAAAAAAAAACGTAGAATCAAACTTTGTTACGAAACAAATATTACTGCTAAATTTTTATTACGTAACAAGTCCAAATTTCGAATCGAGTTCAGAAATAAAAACAGCAAAATTTAAAATATGAACTAGTGCGACGTCAGGCCGAAGGAGATACTGACATCACTATTAAATACAGATATACCTACTATTACCAAAATGTGGCCAAAAACTCGAAGCAATAAAAACAACGAAATGCCTTTCCACAGACACGAATACATATGAAGTTTTGCAAAACCATAAACAGCTGAACCTCACGAGTCACACTTATCATTTTTATACCTTAAACCTAGGAGTAACCGAGTGAAAGGCAAATCTAAAAAACTCCAATGTATTTTAAAAACAATTTCTAAAACTGTTCATATCTCTCACTTATTACAGAAACATGTTTCACTAATAATACTCAGACCCAAGAGATGAGTCTACCTAACTATATTCATTATTTCAATTACAAATCGGTTTCTAGTGGTGGAGACGTCTCAACATATGACCATGACAGTATATGGGGATCATAGACGAGGCTGGATATAGTATCATAAAAAAATTAACACATTGTACACGTAATTCGGAAACAAGTAAATCAATAATAATCGACCACGTGTGTTCAAATTTAAAAAGTGATCGATTTCATGTGGCATTTATTGAGACTGGAATGTCCGACCATAGGCAACTTTTTACTAAATCTATATTTTAATAAATATAGTATAATCGACCCCCACAGATAATATACTCTGAATACCCCATAGATTATTGAAAGACATAGCAACACTTGATTAGTAACTTGACATATCCTTACACTTGACTGAGTAAGGATATGCAAACAAGTAAAAAATGGTACTTAATCTACATCAGAAACATAAGAATCATATAAGATCAGAATAAGTGGAGAAGTCATGAGTGCAGTTCAATTTAGAAAGCAATTATGGGCTAACCTGAAAATAGATTCTACAAAAAAAATATTCAATGACAAGATAAAATACAACAAGAGGAAAAGAATTAATTAACGAACTTAATAAATACGCTAACAACCTGCAAAAAATGTGGAGTCTAATAAATAAATTGGCTATTAACAAATTAAACAAAGATTTAAAACTCATAATAGACACTCAAACAACCAATATTTGTACAGCTTTTAATAAATACTTTTCTACCATTAGGCCATAACTAGGCAATAAAATATCAACATTTTAACTTTACACTAGCACTAACTTCAAATCTTAACTCTGAACTATATAATTTTAATCCATGGACAACACAAAAAATCACCAATATAATTAAAATACTAGACACTAATTGTAGAACTGGAATAGATGGAATCAACACTAAAATCATAAAATGTATCATCAATGATATCTCTCGATTTGCTTTTATATAAACTACAACATAAAGGTGAATATCTAAAGCTTACTACATAAGGTAAAAGCTAAAGTAACTCCTATCTATAAATCAGACTCTAAAACCGACCCGCCGGTAATTACAGACCAATTTTACAATTTTAAAATCTATTCCAGCTTCCAAATCAAAAATATAAAAAAAAATTATTCAAATTCAAATTCAAATTCAAAAATCATTTATTCACGTAGGTAACACAATGTACACTTGTGATTCGTCATTAAAGAAATACATATTAATGCTTCTAATTTTACATTTACTGCCAGTTCACAAATCAAGGGCGTAGAACGGAAGAGAAGAACTGGCAATAAACTCTCCGCCACTCTTTTTAATCGCCATGGTTTTTTTTACACAACGTTTGTAAGGAGCTGCAACCATTACACCATGTTGCACATGACATCTTAAGTAATTAATAATAATAACATAAATTAAAAACAAAGACTTGTCCTCTATCAGCAGGAGGCATGGTGAAATAGGAGCACGCACTTACATTCTCGTGGGAACAACACGCAAACACATAGTCGAAATAATTAACATCACCGCATACACGAATTCAAGTACGACCAGTCACCACAAGTAGCACCCGTTCACGAGTATGACGCATGGCCAGCCATCGGCCATGCGTCATATGCGTCGTCGTCGTCATGCGTCGTCATGCACATTCACGACTTGATACTTACTTACAAACAAATTGCAATAGTATTATAATATTAAGAAAAATATATTAAAAAAATATCATTTTGTAATTAGATGTAAAGTTCTTTCGTTTGAGGGTAATGAAAAGATTTTTTTTTACGGGTTGGTTAAAAATAGCATTGTGCTTCGCTTACTAGAAATCATCTATGACTTAAACAAATTCACGGACTATAACTAGGTTAAATATGAGGTTCTTTATCTCATCTTGTCTTAATTACAGCGTTGTTAGGTCGTTGGGTATTTATATTGTAAATTTTTCAATTCTGAAGATAATAAAAATATGGCAACATTTTAACTTATGAAACATTTTATATGGCAAGTTAAGTTTTCTCGTAGGTTTATTTAATGAATACAACCATTCCCAAAAAAACAATATTTTCGGTTTGATAAGCGTTGCTATGATTAAGTATAGAAAGCTTCTTGTACTTTCTTAATTGCAATAATTATTGTGTTACCTGGTATGAAACACAACGTTTCCCAAGTTACATGTGTTAACCGCCAATTTAGTGGTCATTTGTATATTATATTACGACCGGTAAACTTCTCTAACGCTAAAACCTTAAGATCTAAGTTTTTTGGAGAGTCTTAATAAAGTGGATTATACCCACGCCCATAGATACCTGGAATACCGAAAAATTTCGGGTTTTGCTGGCCTTTGAATGATAGGCTCTTTTCTTGAAGGTCCGTAAGTCGTTTTGGTTTGAAACTGCTGTTTTGAAGTTGAGCAACTTATATTTAAATATAACAAATTTTGGCTCTTCTCAGAGATATTTCATCACATTGACTGGAAAAGATTACTTTAGGGATATGGCCGCGGTTAAATTGCTCATAAAAGATATTTTAAATTATAACCTGTTTTATTTTATCTTCTGTGTGTAATATAGCCTAAAATACAGCTGCGAATGTAAGTTATTTTAACTTAGAAGCGAAAATGAGTACTGGACGAAGCATCAATCGATTTTGTAAACTATGAAATGTCAAGGTTGTATGACCATTTTCTATTGTTTCTGATATGCACGGTCCTAAGTTATTTTTGAAACAAAGTCTTTTAAAACATCGCTAATAAGTACTATTCAGAATAAATTACAGCCATCTTGAATATTAATACTTATATTCTAGAACCAATATCGCTCTATCCCACGATTATCGCAGACACACATTATTCAGACAATATCTATTGTGTAGAATCACCATCGCGGCACGGTGCGTTTGCAGTGCTATTTTACTTTATTATTTTAAATATTTCTTATTCCAAATAAAAAAGTAAATGAGTCCGTAATGTGTACCGTTGATATTGCATAATTTACGCTGTTGCTGCTTTTTTAATTAAAAAGCGGCTGATGTTATTTTAACAACTTAATATAAATCAATTTAATATACATTGGCATACGTAAAAGAATGTGTTTATTTAGCAACTAACAAACATCACCCCCGAAGAGTGCATCCATAAAGAAATGAGAGAAGAATAGCTAACACTCTGTTCTGGTCACTGGGTGAGATAATGAATGAAAATAAGTCAAAAATCATTTATTCATATAAGTAATGTACACTTATGCACGTCAAAAAAGAAATATACAAAAGGGCGTAGAACAGAAGAGAACAACTGGCAATAAACTCTCCGCCACTCTTTTTAATCGCCAAGTTTTTTGTTTTACACAACGTTTGTAAGGAGCTGTAAACATTAAACCATGTTCCACATGACATCTTAAGTAATCAATAATAATAAAATAAATTAATAACAAAGATTTGTCCTCTATAAGTAGGAGGCATGGTAAAATAGGAGCACGCACTTACATTCTCGTGGGAAAGACAAGGAAGGAAGAGAGAAAAGTTTACGATGTATTTAGCCTGAGCATGAACAACTGGGAAATATAATAAAAAATTGTCAAAAAAGTATGGAAATAAGTACACAGGAGTAAAAAAAAATTCAGCGATTTTTAAATAAAATCAAAATTACACCACATACCGACAA